GTGAAACCATCGAAACTAGTCCTGCAAGATTTACAAGTATAAAATGCTGTTCTTGTTTGACTTCTCCAATCATTATTCGGCGTTATATTATGGTATTTAGCATTTATGATAGATTATTTTTCTTACCGAAAGCATTAAAAATGTGTGAAAAGTGATATTTTAAGTACACTCTTAGAAACTATGAAGACAATTTATAGTTTTCATAAATTTGAAAAGATGTAAACTATTTCAGATTCAATACATTTAGATTTATGATGTAAAATTTAATGTAAATTTTACTTGAAAAGATTGCTATCATTGCAGCCTCTGTCATTCTTAAATTAATCACGATCATTAAAAAGGCCGCTGTCAGGTAAGTTTCGGTTTCTTAACTTAGGCTAGTTCACCTTTCTACATTTTACATTAATCTTTAGTTTCTTGGATATAATTATTTTCATTCACTTGCTTCATTATCTCTAAGATGCCCTTGTTGCAGTAATAATCCGTAAACAGTTTATTCACAGGATATTTGATGTAGTCAGAAGAAAAGAACTGCTGTCGAAGGTGCTCTGTCAGAGGGCAGAAGTGCAGGTAATGATAAAGTTCGAGGTAAATATATAGAGGTAAATATGTGAAACTGAATGTGGTGAAAATAAATGAAATCCTTACAATGAGTCATTGTAGAGCTATTAGGTATTTTTTGGAAGACGGAGAGATGAAAAATGAGCAACGCCATAGCCGGGTATCGAACCGCGGACCTCTGAAATACACAACCAGCGTGCAGACCACCGCAGAGAAGCAAGGAGTGACATTATTCACGGCCACAGAGCAAGAAGGGTTTGGGACCAATCACTAACACATACGGATCAATAAGAGAGAGGCAATGGGGTTTTCGAGAGCCATATTTTTAGGAAAGAGTAGACGAAAGAGAGGATGAAGAGAATAGAGGGGAATTAATGCCGATAGAGTGGGCTAAAGCAACTTTACATATTTAGATTAAAAACGGGCCTATTCCAAATGTACAAATATGCTAGGGTTAGTACTCACTTATACAGGTATACAAGGTTAGCATTCTTTATACCTTGTTATCAGTTTGGAAAATCATAGCACAATATTTTTGGTGTACTTGGATAAATTTAGAGATATACATATCGCCGAGTAAGTTACAAATATTGTAAATATGGATGACCTCCAGTATCATTTAACATAGGTCCATGATCTAAAAGTATTTGGTTTGTGATTGGGATCAAAGGTTCTGAGAATGGATTAGCTTGTTTTCCAGTTCTAGTATTTTTTTTTTTTTTTTTTCAGTCAGTGATTTTTACATTGTCTGATGGATGTGGAATAAGCAAGTTTAGTCAAGTTAGGATAGCTCCGAAATGAGTTTATTTGGGGCTTAATTAATTATTAAGTTAATTTTGGGCTTAATTATTTTGAATATAGGGCAATCACGATAACTGGATACTTGAAGTCCGTAACAATTAAAATGAACTGTTTTTTAGACATGTTTAAATTAACATTCATTTGAGAAAGGAGAGCGCAGATATTTTTAGCAACTTCTTTTAAGTATACAGTCATCAGATGAGTAGCTTAGATTCTGGTGGATTTCAATTTTTCAGTCTGCTATACAAAGTGTAGGAGGCTAAATTGAGCATAATTTGGATTTCAGAAATGGGTATTAAAACTTGAGTTTTAGGGTTGAGAAGCAGATTATTTTTGAATATTTATTAACTATGTTCTTTTACAGCATGGTTAATTTCATTGGGACGTCAATTAATGGGAAGATCTCTAACAACTGCTTTACTGGTTTCTCGGATATGTACTTTATCTAGGAGAAATTCAACATCATTGTAGGTTAAATAATCAAAATTATAATCTTGGATCGAGTCGCGAATAACTAAAAAGTTAGCATGATTCTGACGAATAAATTCGACATTACATTCACTTTTCATTTTTTAGACGATGGAAAGATAATCTTGGTCAGTTTGCGCCATTGGCTGTGAGAAGACATTGTAAATATTGTACAAGGATTGGTCAACGATAGAATCTTTCATATTTTCAGTAATCACAATATTTTTAAGGGCTAATATTTATTTGTTGCAAATACAATTAAGGACTACTTGTTTTTATACGTTTAGGCAGCTTTCCTTATAAGGTATTTCTCCAGCCATCTAAGCGTGTCTTCGTAGTGTGGTGGTCTGCACGCTGGGCGCGTATTCCAGAAGTCCATGGTTCGATTCCCGTCAAGGGCGTTGCTCATTTTTCATCACCCCTGCTCCCAAAAATGCCTAACGTCTCTACACGTTTTGGTATAAAAATGCATCGCTAAACTGAAGCTGGTTATGGTTAAATTATTGTGGGTATTATTCGAGTTTATTTTAGTGGTGGTCCCAGAAGTTGGGGACATGATAGGAGTTTGTGAAAAGGTTAAGCATGTTTGCAGAAAAAGCAGTATTCAGAGTGATCTATCCTGGTTAAATAAGTTTCACGTGTACTGTAGATTAGTGTGAGAACTTCATTTCTAGCCTTAATCTCTTCTTCGATTAAGGCAGTGAAGAGCAAACCTTTTTCATTTGAAATTTTCACCTCTGTTGATAAGAGTGTCTTGTAGGCCAGAAATAGCATTTTTAAGGTGCTGGTCGCCACAGCAGCTGCCTCGAAGTCTGGGTTATCTTGAATATGGAAGTCTAAATTAGCTGGATTGGACTTTTTCCTCATTTTTCGAACCACCTAACAAGTGAAACGTGTCCGGTAGAAATTTAGTATTGGAATTTAATAGTGGCTTCTTAGGAATAACGGATATTGTTCAGAGAGTTCATTTTTGCACTTTTGTGGTCTGAATCAAGAAATTTTATTCACCTTGACCTAATGAGATAAAACGCTTTCATCCACGAGGGACGAAAACAAATCCCGACTCAAGAAAGTCAGTAAACAATTTTTGGATGTTGATGTCAGCAATAAATTTTGTGTACTTTGTAAAGTTAATGTCTGCGTCGATAACAATGCTATTGTGCAAGGTAATGCGCCGTTTCGAGCGCAAGCTCCAGTTACTAGGATAAAGCCTATTAAGGTGATACCTAATTTAAAATTTAACGACTTTGTTAAAAACTTGTCTGAGGAAACTAAGTCTGTATTTACGGCTAAAATAACCGATGACTTTCTGAAAATGTTCTCACTGGTGAGAATGATCACAAAGTTATCTCGAGGTATTTACCTGACAACAATGTTTAACATTATCTTGTACATCCAATAAAGGTCAGACCCATTAAAGTTGTGATTAGGGGTATTCCAGCTGATTCTACTACAGACGAAATAAAAGATGAATTAATTAGTGATTGATATAACGTGCTCAAAGTAGCACAGATGATAAAATTCAAAACACGTGTTCCTAAGCCTGTGTTCCAGGTCCATCTCGTAAATGAACCGGGTTTGGAAAAGATCTACAATATGGAAAACCTATTTTCTTGAAGGTCTTTGTAGAACCATACAAATTTAAGGGCGAGGTGGCCCAGTGCCATAACTGCCAACATTTCTGTCATTTATTAGATGAGTTAAACTTGCTCCGAGGTGCCCAAAATGTGCTCTCCCACACAAAATTTCGGATTGTCACACAAATTGGATCTAAAAACTGACCTACTGCAACTGGGGCGGCGATCATGTCGCCAATTTTTCCATGTGCTGGACAGCTCTGGACCGCATGGCGAGGAGCAACAATTAAATAAACAAGTACGAGAAACTATCGCCGAAGAAATTGTTTCTCGTGTTGACACATCTAAATCTGGAATAGAGGAATGCAGAATTTTTAGCAATAATAGATTATTCGCTGTTAAAACTTCTGAGAGGAAAAAGCCGCTGTGAAGAAAAATTATGCCTTCAGATAAATGCGTTCAGATTGCGAATCTGCTACTTACAATGAAATTACGCAATTTACAATGAAATTAAGGCAATCTTTTCCGGATTTTCAAATTTGTGATGTATTCAAAATTTTCACTAGTAGACTTAATAAGGGAAGCCCCTACTGCTATTGACAAAATGTTTGTATGATTTAATATACTTGTATAAGTCTTCAATGAGGTAACTTTGGGGAGTTTCATTTAAAATGTTTTTTTCCCACAATACGGTTACTCATACATGCTGAAGTTATCAGTAGTTGCTTGGTTTTGTATATATTGGCACATATTCATTAATTAAGAAAGTGATGTGTATTTAGTACTCACAATTTCCTGGCATTTAATCCGCTTACGATTTTGTATTATTTTAAAATTTGTTATGATGCCCTTAAGATTCGTATTGACTCTACATGTTAAACTTTATTTTTGTTTATATGTTCACCCGTTCGAAAGCTCGCCTTACGTGTTTCGTTTGTAAGAGAAAAGTTATGTGACAGTAGTATTTTTATGCTTAGAAATTTTGCCATTTTAGTGACTATTCCTCAGCATTTAGAAGCAATTTTGTTACTTCGCAGTAAATTTGAAAGTAACTATTTACTCGATGGAGGTAGGTCGCCACAGACCAGTTACTCCGATGTTTGCAGTGCCGGATTTACGTATAAGCTGAACAAGCTATAGCTTAGAGCCACGACTTTCTTGGACTCCCGAAAAATTGTAGCATATCCCATATAAAACTAATTGACCCATATCCCTCATAAAGGGTCCCATATCTGAGAAAGCTTAGGATCTCGTCAAATCTAAATCCTGTCCTGGTTGTTTGCACCACTCGGAGAAGATAGACGCTAATACTGGCTAGTTTCAGAAGAAATTAGTCTGTCACTGATTTAAGAAGAAAAAAAAAAAAAAAAAAAAAAAAAAAAAAAAATGACATATGTTTCATTTGATTTGCCTATTTTGAAATTTCCTTGACTGCGAAATTAATATTATGTTGACATTTTCAAATATTACAGCATTAGTAATTATTTGAATTGAATTCTAAAATAAAATTTCGCAAGCAAAAAGATCATGCTGGACACTTCCTAAGCATTCAATTTAATTTGTACATTCATAACAGAAACGTGGCAACAAAAACGTATTTGCCAGTTCCTACAATACGAAGTTTTTGTTACGATATTATTTGCGCTGAAGCTTCTAAATGTTTTTGAGCAAATAGTGTTTTAAGCATGCCTTCAGCATCTGCAAAGCTCGAAAAACAAGTGTCAACTGACGCATTAGATCCTATGAAGCAAGTGCTTACAATTGTAGAAAAAAAAGTTAGAAATTTAGAAAAACGGAAAGTTAGTATGGGGCGTCCTTTGTCGTGTAGTTTGTAAATTTTTCTAATTAATATGTAACATTTTGTTACATATTTATCATTTTAAAAATCTAATTTGATTTTACACAGTAACATAAGTATTCTTATACTGTTGTATTTTCTTATACTAACTACTTATGTGTTACGTTGACATCGGGAATAATTGCAGATCACCCAGATTTGTAGATGAATTTTGCAGAAAGCAGGAGCTATGTATGTAGATTCATTTCTCGGGAAGAAAAGTTTAAATTAAATATTCATTAAATTAAAATTTGAAATAGCTCTTTTTATAATATTTTTATCTTATATAATTATTGGTTCTAATAACTGTACTTTTTTTTTTTTTTTTTTTTTTCCCTGTACATAAGCATTAAATCCACAGACTGGAAATAAAGGAAGGGAGACAAATTTTCACATTAATAAAATTGGTTCAGTTATCCTAAACTGGCTTTTAACTTATGTAATGTAGGCATTTTAGTATATTTTTAAAATTAGGCTGAATTTCATTTTAGAGTTGCATTAATGCATGGAAATTGTGTTATTTTCTGTGAAACTAACATCCTGAAGTGAATTTTTGCCTAATATCAAATTTTAAATAGTTCTACTCTTCCATACATTATTAAACAATTAGGCTGAAATTCATTTTATATTGGCATTAATGCATGGAAATTGTGTTATTTTCTGTGAAACTAGCATTCTGAAGTGAATTTTTGCCTAATATAAAATTTTAAATAGTTCTCCTCATCCATACATTATTAAACAGCATGATTATAGTTTTTTAAATGTATAAATAGCTGGTAAAATTCACGAAATTCAGTATATTATAAATATGTATGGTAAAATTAAGTTTTCAACCCCAGAATTTTGTTTTGAAGTTAAATGTCAAGAGATTTAACTTGATAAAGTTTTGAAGTTAAAAAAGTTTTAAATATTCGTACTGTTGTATTGAGCTGAAGTCATAATGGATGTGTGCATCTTTTCAAGTTTTAGGTAAAAGTTTCAGGTTCATGAACATATTTTTGAGAATGTGATATTAATCAAAATATACTTGATTGTAGTTTGACATCTAATGCTCTTACTATGGAAAAATCGCCAAATATGTTCAATTGTGCTGCAGTATTCCTATAATTTTCATGTGTCCTGTTTTCATTACACAGAACATATTAAATAAAATATTCTCAATTTTAGTTTATTCATGATCCTCTTCATTTAGTAAATTATTTGAACTGTATCTCCCTCTATTTCTTAGAAAAGGTGCATGATGAATGATCTGTGCATTTTTTTTTTTGTCTGATATAAGTTTATGGTCTAAAGTATAAATTAAATGAGAATTTTTTTTTTATCTAATGAGGAGGGAAAAATATGTATATCTCATTAGAACTAGAATGCAGGATTTTCAGTTGAAAATCTAAAATGATATAATATTCGTTCTAGTTTACTCAGATAATTCAGGGTGATTGTGGTCTCAATTTTTTACTTTCTCTTGCAGAATATCTAGATTTGTGAAGTATAGACTTGTAATCTTTTTCAAATTTAGTTTCAGAACAAATATATCATTCAGACTGTGTAAAAATTAAAATTTTAGATTGTATACAGTTCCAAAACTAAGTAATGTAGCTCAGTAAGAGGTCAAACTTCTTATATGAGAAAACTGAGTTTGCTGAGAAATTTCTCTTGCACAGAAAAGATTTTTTGTTGTTTGTATTATGTATGGGAAGGGGGGGAAGAAACTGATGTTTGTGCTGATGTAGTCAATCTGAAAAAATAGAAAACTGATTAAATCTGTTTTAATTCATATTCATGGGCACTGTGCTAAAAGTTCATTTATTTATATGGGTGGTATTATGATAGAGTGTAGAACATCCTTGAATGCTGATAACCTACATGTTACACTGATTATGAAATATTCATAAAAATACATATTCAACTTTTGGATTAGAAATCTCTCTGAAGACATTGTTGGTAAAGATGTTAGGAATAATTTATTGGATAATTTGTCGAAATTCTTTACATTCATGAACCATTCTAGTCTTTCTGGTGGTTTCTTAGCTCCAACACCTATTAATGTGCATACTGCAAATTCTAATCTAGAGTCATCATACAGCAAATTGTTGTTGTCAAAGAAAAATTGAAATGTAGCAGTTCTCAAAACTTATCCTCTCTTTCCTAAAAAGGATATTAAAGTTAGCTGCTATTTTTAAAATTATTAAAGACCAAAATGGTGGATGACTTAAATGATGTACTGAAATGTAAATTAATTTTAGTACTTATGTATTATCCCATTGACTGGGAAATTTGGCTATCAACAAACTGTGAAAGTTGGCAGAAATCTTACCAAAGTTGTGCCATATTTTCCTATGGAATTTGAAGAACTGATGCCTCTTTATTTAATAAACAATCAGTGTTCACACTGCTTCATTTTTGTCATTCTTAAAACCCTTTCATCAGTTTCGGCTATTTTGTAAAACCCTCCAATTTTACCAGAATTTCTGTTTAGGTTACTATTAGTACAAATTTCCTGCAAGTAACTGTTCCAGTTTATTACTGTTTTGTCAGCCATATTCAAGTGGCCACATCATGTCCATTATTACTCACTTTTTTGATAGCTGAAGCTAATAAATTTGAAAATGATTCCCTGCTTGCTGTTCTATAGTTTTAGGACATCTTCAGCAGGAATTTTTTTTAATTAAAAAAAATAATGAAAATTTATAGTCTTGTTCATAAAAAACAAAAGGATGTTTATCAAGAATCAACCATGTTGCACAACTGTGAGGAAAGCACAATGTTATGATTGTGTTATGTCACGCTTATCCAGAATTAGCACTAAATCATACTGTTTGGCAACCATTTCATGGTTGACAGCATAATATATGAGTACCTTAATAAATAATAAAATATATAAAAAAATTTTGTTGTACTTATGAAATTGTTCGAAAATATGTACATATGATACATATATGCAGAAATCTACCACTTAGTGAGCGAGAAGAGGAAGGTCAGTCTCTCAACAGCAATCACTTGTGTTGCATGCTTCGATCGAACTGAAAGAATTGAAGTTGAAATGTCAGATCTGTCAGAGTTCCAAAGAGGAATGTTAGTTGGAGCGCGTTTAAGTGGAGCACCGGTTACGGAAACAGCAAACCTTGTGGAGTGGGCAAGGAGTATGGTATCAGCCGTTGGTTAATCTTATGGATTATGGTAACTTGGCGAAAATTTGGCAACAAACCCTGCTACAGCAACCTGCTAGTTTGGACGCCATTTTGTTTTCACAAAGTAAAGGCATTTTTTTTTTTTTTTTTTACTCAACATTTTTTTTTCAACAATCTGCTAGCCGAATTACGCTTATGCTAGAACTTTTATGGAACAAAAGTGCTTAATCATGACGAAGATTAGGTGCGAAATTGGGAGAAAGTGCAGAATAGCAAACTGCTTGCTGCGTTTTTAAGAAATGCACATACACGGTATCCATGTACACGTCGACCTATTTTCACTTAAAAAAACATCCCAGAATTACACAAAAATGGCATTGCGCACACTCTTGACTTTGTCCGTGTACACTGCTGAAGTCCTAGCTAGTAAACTTTATCGCCTTACCAAAATGTCGCCAAACTACCTGTTACCATATTCCAAAGATTAGCCCAGCTGTTATGACAGCGTACACGAAAGAGGTAAGACGCCATCTTAAAAGCACAACAGTGACCAAAAGTCAAAGCTGGCTGATAGGGATAGACAAGTCTTGAAGTGCATAGTAGCCGAAAGCACAAGCAATCATTATCCGAGATAATATCCGAAATGAACAGTCATCTCCAAGACCCCCAGTCATCTCCAGTACCCCGTTTCAACAAAAACTGTCAAAAGGGAACTTCATGCTGCAAACATTTATGGCAGAAAGGCAATTCATAAACCCTTGGTGACAGCAACTAATGCTTAAGTGACGCCAATTGTGCAGAGATCACAAAGGCTGGCCCCCCACAACAGTGGCAACAGGTAATATGGTCAGATGAATCGTCATTCAGCCTATTTCAGATGACCGGAAGTGTTTATGTCTGGAAAACGCCCAAAGAAGCGTTTCATCCTGACTGACTCTTGCCGACTATAAAGCATGGGGATGGTGCCATTATGGTATTGGGTGTGATATCTTGGCGTGGTGTTGGGCCACTTGTTATTCTGCATGGGAGGATCACATCCGATCACTATCTAAACATTCTAGAGGATCATGTCCATCTTTTTGTCCAGACTGTATTCCCTGGGGAGCCACTGCTTTTTCAAGACGACAGTGCCCCTATCCACACTGCTAGGTGTATTCAAGAATGGTTCGAAGAGCATGACGATGCAATTGAACATCTCGCTTGGCTCCCTCAGTCTCCGGACTTAAATATTATTGAACATTTATGGTCAAATTTGGAGTCTAAACTTCGTTCCTGATTTTTACCTCCATCCGGACTTTCGGAATTAGAAACCGCTCTGCAGGAGGAATGGCTTAATATTCCTTTAAATATGGTCCATGTCCTTTATGCATCTATCCCATGTCGCATTCAATCTGTGCTTCAGTCAAAGGATGGTCCAACCCCCTATTAATAAAGATTTTGATTGATCGTATTGTTTTGTCCTCCGTCTGTATATATATATGTGTATTTCATATTAATATTCTTATTTATTTGTAATTATGTTGGATTTGTACTTTGGAATAGTTTTCAGGATTTTTTAAATGGAGTTGCAGTCATCTCTGATAATGTAAAATATATTTTGATGGCCTAGTATTATTAATATTAAGTGTTAAGTATATTTCTGACTTTTTAAATTGTACTATTTCATAGAAATGCTTTCATTATATCATTTTTGTACACATTAAATTGTAATTCTGTAAATTCTGTACTATCACTAAGTAAGGCACTGTAACTATTCATCTGTATAAATGTGAATTAGATTGATTCATTTCTTAGCCTGCATTATATATAGTAGCCTGCATAGTTATAGCAGTGTAAAGTTTGTAGTACAGTATCGCAGCTTTTCATAGCCTATTAAGATTTTGTGTGTGCTTTTATTCTATAAAGATACTTTTCTATAAATATTCTGTTGAGATTTTTAAATAGGACAGATTTCCTTCAAACCATTAAACTACGATTAATGCTGTTAAGGGTTATGGTCTTCTGCTGATATTATCAAAGTCTCTGTATGGAATTTAATCACAGGTTTGATGACAAAAGTAAGCTACAGAACAGAATTTTAACATTACAGTTAATGAGTTACAAGCATATTACTCCAGTCCATCTGTCGTGAGAACTATTCTAGCCAGTACGTTTAACTGAAAACAGTCACTATAGTCACAGGCTTTATGCACTTCAAGTAGTCAGATGAAAGTTTTATTTTTTTAATTTTGATAAATATTGGCTGTGCAAAAAATAAAGCCATGCTATAGTGAGTATTGTATTTACATCAAAAATCAAAGAGGATCTATAATAATCTATATATAAGCAAAGAGCAAACTTAATACAGTCAGAAGTCTTTAATCCGGACTCATCGGGACTTCGGCGATTCCGAATTATTGGTTTTTCCGGATTATAGATCATCAATTTAAGTCTGGTAAGATGGCATGCAGAAATTATAAAATTAAAAATATGAAACCGTAATTTATGAAATAAAGAGCAATTATGATCTAAAGGGTATCAAAATTTACAAAAAAAAAAAAAAAGCTTAATATTTATTTGTTTACTTTATTAAAATTTCTTCAACGCGCGCATGCGTAAAGCATACATTACGCATAGTCGAAATTAGAAAATGCAACCAGAAACTATTTGATGTATTGTGATATTTATAATGAAGAGGAATTGATTTAAATCATATCAAAGAGAGTACATCGAGATGAAATACTACATTTCGTAAGGAACTATAAGCCGAAATAAATAAAACATCTGCCCTGAAGATAAGGATAGTGCGACAGATCAACTTCCAGTTCATTGTGCGCCGCGACGTCCCCCCCCGCCCAGAGCAGTGTGAAATTGATAAACAGATTTTGGAATGGTTAGAGAAACAAAGGATATGCCTTTATCCATTTTTTGCAGCAATTCCACTTTTTGTTTGAGGACATCGAAAACATGCTTTCCTTTTAGGCATCGGATCTTTGTCGAAACATGCTTTCCCTTTGTAGATCCAGCATCGGAAAATCTATTTGACATAATCGAAATTTCAAGCTTACTTTTATAAAATTGCCCTAACAGTCTGCAAAAAATAATAAGCCGGATCCAATTAGAAGATTAAGGAACAACGTAATCTGCAACATTAACTGAAATAGATAATTAGACAATTTTAGCTTAGCTTACACCGTCCGTTATACATTAAACGCGCATGCGTAAAGGTATTATGCCCATGCGTAAACGCATACGCATGCTAAACTACAAACTTGCATGCGTATGCGTTTACGCATGCGTTTACTGTACAATTTTTCAAAAATAGGTTAGAGCTCATAGACAGTTATTTTATTGGGGGATATTCTTGTGATTGTTCGACAGTAACTAAGTTTTATTTGAAATAAATTAATTTCTGAACTTTTCATAGGTATAATTTCCTATTTCTTTATATATCATTAAATTACTGCATTGTAAGGTATTTTTCCATTGCTGTTGGCCTTTTTATATTATCCAAAAAGAAATGTAATTTTAGCTTGTAAGAGCCAAGAAAGTGGAAGAAAAACTATGGCATAAAATTCTGTTTCAGTGTTATATGTAAAAGTCGTTATAAATGATATTATTACTTTAAAGATATTTTATGAGTGTTATGTTTCTTGTTGGTTTGGGTTTCATCTTTTTTAAAATTTCAAAATTTCTTCAGTTCTAAGGAATTTTTTTTTTTTTTTCTTTTTTGTGTGTGTGGAGGGGGTTAGTTTGAGAAAAATTAGTATATACTCTAAAACGTTTCTGCAAAAAATATTCTACAAAAATAAATTCTGCAAAAAATATATACTATTCTTATTTCCTAGCAATCTTTGTATTATAATGTGACATAGTAGCTTTTCAGATATGTTATATGGACTACCAAATTATACATTTATTTATTACATTAATTTATTACAATACTTAATAGATTCAGCTAACGGTATTAATGACATGTTACATTACTATGTGTACCATAGTAATTTTAAATACTGTTTTACAAATATGTGCAAAATGTCAAAATATTTTATTTGTATTTAGGGCAAGTTAGATTCTTATAGACATGATTCTGCAAACGGAAAAGAACTGAATGACGACCAGAAAGTAAGATTTTTCATTTTTATTATATTTTTCCTTTTGTAACATGATATCCTGAAATATGGCATTTGAAAAAAATGAGCAGTTATGAGAATCTTATAGATTAATGCATTTGAAATAATTACACACTTTCAGGTAATCCATATTTTTCATAATATTGTGTTTGCTTCAATTATTGTTTTATTTTTTAACCAGAGAATTTACGTGATTTATAAGCAGGTATCGTACCACTGCTATTTCAATTATTATACAGGTATTAATTGATATACTGTCAGCTTTTCTGTGAGAATTCTTAGAGGTGCAGCTTTTGTGGCTTGTGTTCTTTTCCTGTATCTGCTCTCATAAAAATTTTATTCTTGCACATTTAATTTGTTCTTATGCTGCCTGAATTTATTTATACTATATGCTACTTGTCATTGAAATGTTGCATTTTATTTTAAATTTTCCCAAATGCAGTACATCAGCTTATTATGCAGGGAATAAATCAAACTCATTAAAATCACTCTAATAACATATCACTACCTGTTGGGATGTTTTCAAACCTTCCATCTGCATGTACACAGCTGTATTTTTTTTAACTAACGGCTGCCATGCGCCATCCCCTTTTCTATGACCTCTCTCTAGGTATCTCTCCTCGGTACAAAACCCCTGGTGTCTCTCACACTGAGAGCTATCACCTTCTATACATCTTATTGATTGGCATCACCCATACATCACAACAGCATTTTAAAAATTCTTCGCAAATTCAACAGAAAAATTGCATGTGAAAGAAACGATAATCATTAACATTGCTTTTAGAAACAAAATAGTCTGAAAAAGAGGTGACATCATCTAGTATAAAACTGATTAACTAATGAAATTCGGCAGATTGCCTAGGAAACCTGAAAACTACAACTTAAAGTAATTAGTGCAGGGTTCAGTTCAGTTTTTCTAATCCCACTGCTTGTTAGATTCTTTCCACCCTTTGCTCCATCCTTGCTCACCAGTCATGATTCATTTCCCATTCCCAATCTTACTCATAATTGTTAATTAATCTTACTCATCATAGTAGGAACTCTTGAAAAAAGAAACAATTCAGTTCAGCGAGTAAATGTTTCTGATCTGATCACATGAAAGAGCAGTTTTGCCTACCTATAGTGTATGTATTCACAGTATGCATATGCAGTTCATGTGTTCGTATGCAGAGATTTAAGGAAGGAAATCTTACTTCTCAAAATTTTGCTTGTACTTGCAACGCCTTAATATTGCATGTCTTAACTATATAATTATGTCCTAAGTATAAAGTTTACTTTTTAAAATAAAATATTAATTATTTCAGTTTAAAAATAGGATTATTATTAAAGTAAACTGACAAAGTTTAAGTAGGATTTTTGTGATTTTTTCTGTTTTTTAAACTGTAAATTAGTTAGAAATAAATCAAAATTCAATTAAATTTTTAAGCATTTATGTTTTGCATATTCTGTGTAATTTTTTCTTCTGTTAACAATTTTTTTTCGTGGGTGGTGTGTGTGTGTATGGCTTAGAAAGAGATTGAAAACGACGATATTAAAGAAGAACTAATATACTTCAAAATTATCATAGAAGACCTACATTATTTGGCCCATTTACATAGATTGGGGAGGGAAGGAGTCATGCAATAAGTCGCTTAATTGCAGTTCAGACATGATCATATCAAATTTAAATTGATTTGGAGACCATTATGTATGTCAGCAAAGAGAGATGGGGTTTTCCCCTTTCCTTGCAGTGTTACTGGGGCAAACTATATACGTTGCTTGCAATCCGCCATCAGCAATCGGTGGCCACCTTTTAACAATTAAGGTGCAATTCCCAAACTAACTTCAACACAGTTATCTAACTGTGAAGATGCCTTTGTAAATACATTCTTTTGAGCAACGAGAGAACGGCGAAGAGATTCGATTTTACGATTTCAATCCTGTCTCTCAAGCTTTGAAAATGTTGAGTGTTTTGTGTCACAGTGTCGCTTAATGTTATACTCCTTGCTAACACTAATCGTAAAATTGCATATCAAGCATATAATTCTATTATTTTGCTCCACCAAAAAAGTATTTCGAAGTCTGCACCTCTGAAAATTTCCTGTTGTCGTCCGCTAACTTTCTTTTACATTTTGCATCCATTCATCATGGCAACTATCAAAACCACATGGAACAAAAATTGTAAAAATTCTACGTTGGTTCAACTTTCAAAATAATAAACAAAAGTGAAATATTAAAAACGTGAAACCTCGTAATCTCTCGAACTATAATATATGTCCTAATATAAAGTTTACTTTTAAAATAAATATTATTATTTCAGTTAAAATAGGATTATTATTAAAGTAAACTGACAAAGTTTAAGTAGGATTTTTGTGATTTTTTCTGTTTTTTAAACTGTAAATTTAGTTAAGAAATAAATCAAATTCAATTAAATTTTTAAGCATTTAATGTTTTGCATAATTCTGTGTAATTTTTTATTCTATTAAACAATTTTTTTTCGTGTGTGTTGTGTGTGTGTGTGATATGGCTTAGAAAGAGATTGAAAACAAGAATATTAAAAGAAGAAACTAATAATACTTCTAAAAAATTATCATTAGAAGACCTACATTTATTTTGGCCCATTTTACCTAGATTTGGGGAGGGGAAGGGGAGTCAGTGCAATAAGTCGCTTAATTTGCAGTTCAGACATGTATCATATCAAATTTAAATTGATTTGGAGACCATTATGTATGTAAGCAAAGAGAGATGGGGTTTTCCCCTTTTCCTTGCATGTGTTACTGGGGCCAAACTATATACGTTGCTTTGCAAATCCGCCATCAGCAAATCGGTGGCCACTTTTAACAATTAAGGTTGCAATTCCCAAACTAACTTCAACACAGTTATCTAACTGTGAAGATGCCTTTGTAAATACATTCCTTTGAGCAACGAGAGAACGGCGAAGAGATTCGATTTTACAATTTCAATCCTGTCTCTCAAGCTTTGAAAATGTTGAGTGTTTTGTGTCACAGTGTCGCTTAATGTTATACTCTTTGCTAACACTAATCGTAAAATTGCATATCAAGCATATAATTCTATTATTTTGCTCCACCAAAAAAGTATTTCGAAGTCTGCACCTCTGAAAATTTCCTGTTGTCGTCCGCTAACTTTCTTTTACATTTTGCATCCATTCATCATGGCAACTATCAAAACCACATGGAACAAAAATTGTAAAAATTCTACGTTGGTTCAACTTTCAAAATAATAAACAAAAAAGTGAAATATTAAAAACGTGAAACCTCTTAATCTTCTCGAAAAGAAAAAAATAAGCACACACGTGATAAAACAATGTATAGTCACAAAGCCAAAAGTGCAACGACACTAAGAAAATGAATACACTGCTTCAGATCCGAGCAAATATTTTTCTCTTCCAGTTTACTAGTGCATGCGTGCAAACACACTCGTGCTATGTCATGCCACAGACTCTTTCTCAATCTTCTACAGGTGTTGGTCCTACAAGCTAGGCAGCGGATACGTGCTTTGGTTGATGCCGGGAACTTGGCTCAGTGCCAAATCTCACTTTGAGGGGACAGAGTAGAATGAGTAATAAAGGGCAAAGTAGTGAATTTTTTTTTGCTTGCAACCCCTTCTAGAGACAACCGATATGCCAAATCGCAACAAATGTTTTGAAAGGTCTCGCCGGGTCACAGGTTGTGCATTCCCTAAGTTAAAAGATGGGAAACTGGTAAAGCAGATGACCATCATGACTGGTAAAGTGGTTAATATCGGACCATATTTTCTTCCTTCTTTCCACATGCCTTCTTGGTGTAACTAGCACACTCATGTGCTCGAGAGGTCCGGGGTTTGAATCTGGTGAAGGTGTGGCACATTTTTCACGTCTCCAGCTAAAAAAAAAAAAAAAAAAACCTAATAACTCTACCATGACTCCAAACTAAAATATGTGGACGTTAATTTGTCATCTCAAGGATTTGTTGATTGGGTAACCTCATCCTCAGTCACCCTTTAAAAGGGAGAGTACATAAATTATTTTCTTCCTCCTTTCTGCAAGCCTTCCTGGTGTAACCGGAAGCACACTTGGCATGTATTCTAGAGGTCCAGGATTAGAGTTTCAGCAAGGGCATTGCATATTTTTTAAGTCTCCTGCTTCAAGAAAACAATGTGACATTAATGTGGCTCTACATGAATGACACGACTCTACAACATGAATATGGGAAAGCCATGACGGTTATCTGCCTATCAGAACTGGGAACCATCATTAATATGATAGTTTAAAAAGCAAGCCTAAGGAGCATTTTAAATTTTGTAACTTCGATAAATACCATTCTTGGAAGTTACAAGATTGTGAAGTTGAGGTTCGAAAATTTAACATTGTATTTCTATAAACTGGATGATTTATATAAACAAGAATAAGGGTAATTTCAAATTCTAAACTTTCAAAAAGAAAGAAAAAAAAAAAAAAAAAAAAAAAAACAAGAAATGGTAAGAATATTCACTTTTGAAAATTTTGATTCTAATAATATCTAGGTTGAATAATTGGAAGAGGAATATAAACTTGAATCAAAAATTCTGGTGAAACTTTTTTTTTTTGGAAGGACGCAATAATTAATTGAGAGTTGAAATTTTGAAAAATCATTTATAACCAAATTTCCTATTCTAAAGACATATTTCATTTTAATGGAATCGGACTTTTTCCCCTCTTCTACCTGAAAAATTTTACCTTTCTATTCTTCAAACTGTAACAGCATGGAAACTGTTTTGTAATTGCTAGAATATCCTCAATATGACTAACAAAATACTTCAAATAGATAGGATTATGTTAAAAAAAGCTTATCAAATTAATTAACAGTGAATATGGCAGAATTATATTTTTTGCTTTTTTATTCAAGATAAGAACAACTTGTTTTCCTCAACTGTAATATGACAGAAAATTTTTTTTTAAAAAAAGTAAATCAGCATGGTAGGGAAATGTGTGATATCAGATGCTCGAAAATTCTAAAATCTTGGTTTGTGTAAAAGTATTCTATTTGGAAATTTCTTTGCTTATATTTTTTATTTAGATTGACTAGGTTAATGTGAGCAAAAAATGTGCGTTACATATAAAATATCTCTCAACTCGAATTTTATTACTTCCAATTATGTATTATAAGTTTGGCTGTTATTTTGGTCATGTTGTGGTATAAATTTTATGTAAATATTTATTTGGTGTTAACTTTTTTAAAATTAAAATTCCTTTTTAACTGTAAAAATTTGGGGAGGGGGAGAAATTCTTTATGAATAACTTTTTTTTTTTTTTTTTTTAATAGAAAGCTGTAGCAAAGTATGATCAAGTTGTTGAAATTTTAGACTTTGCGAAAGAATTACAGAAGCAATTTCAAACTTTAATACAAGAGGTTTGTATTATACATATTGATAATTATATGTTTGTTAAATAACCAAAGAAATAAAAATACTCATAGGAATTAAGGAACAGAAAATATTTAACTAAAGTATGAAATATGTGTATAATTGTTATTTAGCTTTCTTGTGGATTTTCATATTTCTTTGATTTGAGCCCTGTTGACCCTTGAATCATAGAATGAGTTCATTCAGATCTTCAGAATTTTTGGGTTTTTTCCATTTCCTTTTTACTTCTTTCTCTGAAGTAAAAGAAGTGTTGTAATAGCAAAATATTTCAGCTGTCAGATTGCAATAGAAATATCTATTTTGACTATTTTATTCCAAAGTAGTTTGTAAAATTAGTTTTGTGATGTATGTACTTATCTGACATAAACAAAAATGATAGCGTTAGAAATTGAAATTTGTATATGAGAATGCTTTTAATATTTAATTGAGCACCTCCTTGTTTATTGCAATGTGCTAGATATTATATTATATATATATATATAGAATTTAACAAATTTTTTCCATTTGTAAAAAAGCTAATTTAAATTTTTAAATTAGGGAAATTTTTATTGTACAAATAAATTTTAATTATTTGCTGCAAAACTAATTTGCAATAATTTTAATCAGAGAGAATATGTTAAGTATCTAAACCATGAAAAATATTTAAAATCAAAATTATGAATTACAAACTAATTTGCATAAGTAATAATTGTGAGCGGCATGGTGACAGATCTTTTCAAGGGTTTTCAAGTTGCTCAAAAACCTAACTTTCAATTACTCAATTTGTATTTCATCATCCATATAGGCACAGGTAAAGTATTATTCAAAACCAAAAGTAAAAACCACATTTAGTGAATTGCTTAAAAAAGAAATTTTAACTGTTAAAGAATTTCAAGAAATTTAGTAAACAAATCAAGTGGGAAACAAAATTATTAATTAAAGTATATCGCTAATGTAACTAAGAGTTAAAATCCAAAGTAATTTAAAAACCCTTACCTATTGAAACTTGCATTAACATTTGAAAATTCAGTAATTCATTGAATAATGTAGATATAGAGGTAAAAACTGGCACACATGCTTGAAATGTTATGGGGTTTTATTGAAAGCAAAAAATAAAAAAGGCTTAAAATGGGCAACAGATGGCACTCTATATGATAACAAAAGCAATAATTAGCATAACAGTTGATTTTTTGACTATGTGCAAAGACTATGTTCTTTGTCATGAATGTTCAACATGTTGGCTGTTGTTCATCAGCATTACCTGTAGTCGAGGGACAATGTTGTGAATAGCACTGTGCAGCATATCTGTAAATGTGGTGAGAAATTGCCATCGGACGTTGTTGTTTAGCATCCCTAATGAGGTTGGATGACCGTGGTAGACTTGTGATTTCAGGTGACCCACAACCAGTAGTCACACAGATTGAGATCTGGGGACCTGAGAGGCCAAGCATGACGGAAGTAGCGGCTCAGCACACGATCCTCATCAAACGATGTGTGCAAGCAATCTTTCACAGGTGTAGCAGTGTGGGATAGAGCGTCATCTTGCATAGAAGTCATACCTCCCAACCAGGTGTTTATCAGTCAGATTAGGTGTTGGTGTATTGAGGATACGGCAAAGCACACTAGGGCTATCTGCCTAAGGGGAGGGATGCCTTTCGTGGAGGACTTTCTAAGGGAAACTGGCTCGTATACATGTTACACATGGGGAAAACCACGAAAACGCCCATGCAGCCAGCCCGTTCGCGGGATTCGAACCTCGGACCGAACTACCAGTGTTCAGCGGTTTTACCGCTCGGCCGCTGGTGGGCCAGTCAGATTAGGAATGATGCAATTCTGTAACATATCAGCTTACCTCATAGCCGTCACACTGATAGTCTGAATAGCAAAACTACACATTTCCTTGAAGAAGAAGAAGGATCTGATCACAATTGATGTGATAAATCTACACAGCTTGACCAACACCTGGAGACGAGGGTAGAAAAGTGACTAAGTCATGAAGGAAAAAAAAAAATCGCTCCCTCACTACAGCTCATTTCATATATGTTTCTCATACAATATCATTGACGTTTTGCTGCCCAGCACCATATGTTGGCTTTTTATTTATTTATTTTGCTTTCAATAAAACTCCATGTCATTTCAAGCATGTGTGTCAAGTTTTACCTCTCCACGTACATTATTCCGTGAATTATTGAACTTTCAATTGCTAATGGACTTTAGGGTCACCCTGTATATACCCAGCCTTTATGTTTGCAATCGTTTGTGATACTCATAAACTTCCTGTTATAGAAGTATTTTAAATGATGGAAATACTCATGCTTTGGTAATATAAAATTAAAAAAAAAAAAAGGACAAAGTCTAACTTTTAATGTGGTCTTCCAGTTCCTATACTTATATTTGAGAAAGTTTTATGCTTGTTATAAAAAAATAAAAATACAAGTAGTTTGACGTATGACAAAAGTTGACCACAATATGTAATTTCAAAATTTGCAATTTTTTATATGATATTCAACTTGCCTTGAGGGATTGGTTAATTAAGTTAGAATAATTTGAGGAGATAAGTTTAAATGAAATGGGAAAAAAAAATACATATAATTTAGTAGGCTGTACAAGGAAGTCATGTGGTGTCCATATAATTTTTTTTTTTCTTTTTTAATAATGCCTCCATTAGAAAAGCAAAGTCATATTTTTTATGCAATAAAGCAATATATGATATAAATTTTAGAATGATACTTAAAATTTGTAGATAATACATATTTTCATTTATTATTTTGATTTAGTACACTAAAGCTCAGAAGAAAGCTGCAAAACGAGAACAACTGGAGCGCCAACAATTAGAGCTACAAAGGATAAAGGAAATTATGGTTTATCAAGATCTACTTAACAGTATGGGTGGTGAGGATGTTAGGCAAGATTTTTTAAATGGAAACAATGGTGCTGTTGTAAGTATTTGCAGAAATGGGAAAAAATACTTTAATTTTACAGATTTTACTTTTTGTTTTATATATAAGTTAAAAAATAGGATCAAAATATGATTAAGTTCTAATCAGTATTCATGTTCAGTTGGTTACAAGTTAATAATAAAACAGTTACATTTTAACTGCAAAATGTATGTCATATTGTCTTAAATTATTGTTATGAATAATATATACTTTCATCATATGTAAAAATGTACTATAAAAAGGTAATATATAAGGAAGGATTGAAAAGTAATGCACTTTTAATTTTTTCCCCAAAATTCAGTAGCTAAAGCAAAACACAGTCCTGTGTATCTTTGCTACTTTTCAGTATAAGAACCGATATTTTCAAGACATTTCTTTATCATGCTATCAATTTTAGTATGCCATATTTATCAAAGTTCATTTTCTGATTATGTGTGGTGATGGTTGGATTTCTTCAGTAGACAAGGCTCGTCCTATGTCTTTTCAAGGTACATAACAAATGAGAGCAAAAATTTCATTTAAAATTATCCAGTTGGTCTCGCTGGGGAAGAAGAGGGTGACTATAATTCATTGATATACATGGCAGTGAAAATCACAATATTTTTATGCTTTAATTTAATGACTTTTTTTTTTGCTGTAATTTACATTTAGTAGAAATGCCTATTCTTGTGCATTATGTTTCTATTCTTATGTTGAAGAATATATGACTTGTGGTTGCATTTCATATACAGTGTACAGACCATCTATATATACATATATAATCTCTATTAACATCTATTAAGAATAATAGTATGCATTACTTTTGTATCCTTTTTCCTATATTTCTTTAACTAATCCTAATTTGTGATATTTGAAACATCTTAAAAGAGAAAAGCTTTTTTGCAGTGTCCTAGATGCAGTTTCCTTTTTTAATTCGATTTTGAATTTTTCTTTTTTTAATAAGGTGTGTACTGAAGTATAATTTTAATTTAATAGTTCTGCATGAAAATTATTAAATTCTTTTAAAGTATGTACTTTATATGGTCTTTGTTTCACTAATTTCATATGCTATGTGCATTTTCCAATAGTTGAATTTTTCGTGAAGATTTATACGTTTAAAAGGAAAATATTTGCAGAAATTAACTGAAGAAGAATTGAATAGTCTTGATGAATTGTACAAAGCTATATGTCCTGAACGAGAAGCAGATTCTGAAAATAGTTCTAATTTTGATCAAGTGCTTTCTGCAGCAGCAGAACATGTTCAGGCTCTACTAGATGCTAAGAACAAAGAAGTGTTTGGAACTACATGTATCCTTTCTAAATTAGCATTGTATGAGGCATATTGAAATTGGCATATCTTTAACATTTAATATAAAAATTTACAGTTAAGTTCTTTAAATATTTATTTCATATGTCTGTTTTAAGCGGGGAAAAGTAATAGAAAGTATTGCTTTTATCAATTAACCTTTTTGTGATGAAAGGCGCAAATGCACACATATTGCTGGGGCTGGCTGTTTGTTTCACAAGCTTCTCTCCTGGGTTGGAGGTTTTTCTCGCTATTAAGCTTAAATCCGTGAAAGTGCAGAAAAGTGAATGTATTGTTTATTAATGTTCTGTAGAGTAGAGTATATATGCTTTATATATTTTTTATTTACATACTTCATATACATGTTTTTTTTTAATTAAATAGTTTTTATTTTGCACATTTTTTTCCCCTGTATTTACTTACTTGTTAGTGACTTTTAGCATTATACATCTGACAACTGAACATTTTACTTAAAATTCATTTTTATTGTGATACATTTCAAAGCATGGATCTACACAGTTCTTGCATTCTTGATAGCTCATTTGTAGCTATTAGGAAGCTTATATCTGTAGCTATTCATTTATTTTTGGAAGAATGTTTTCAGGAACTTGAAAAAAGGAAGTATTTTCACGTCCTTTTGAACAAAGCACTTCATGTCTATCTTTGAAAGCAGTTCAGTTTTGGTTCTTTTTCTGCAAAATCAGTATTTCATCAATTTTCATTTTAGGCTGCAGAAGAATTTTCAGTGATTTCTTTCCTTCTCATCATTATAGTCCAATAAGTATTAGTTCCAGGTTTTGTTCATCTGCCAGTGATGGAGACATGGAAAAACATTCAGTATATAAATGATATCCTTCACCAGAAAGTTCTTCAAGAAGAGATTTGGCAAGTATTTCCCCATATAAAAACCTGAACTTTCTTTTAACTCTTTTCCTTTTCTCGCACAAATAATAAAATTATAGATATAATCTGATTTAGATTCACATAATTTGTTTTCCAACGCTTCCACAATGTAATGCTTAAAACAAAAATATTTCATGTACACAAGTTGTAGTTCTGAATTGGAAAGTGGACTTCGTGAATCATCTCTGTCACATTTCAAGTAGAAGGTCAAATCTGCATGCATCTCAAATCCTATGGAAATATAACACTCTCTTGTACTTCCAAAACTCTGAGTCCTATATGTGACTGGTGGGGGTGAACGAGAAAACGATGCATCATGCAAGCGTAGCTGTCTCAAAACGAGTATGTTTCATGTGGGCATTTCTGTGTGACAGTTGATGTGAAGGAATTATATATATATTTTTAGACTTCTATATCTATGTAATGGAGATTTTGAATCTTGCATAGAAGATGGTGATGCTGAAGCTAAAGTATAAAGAGAAAGTGTAGTCATGGCCAGTTGATATATATTTTTTTGGTGTAGCATTCTTGCAATGAACGCATGTAACTAATTTGGTGAATTACTCATGCCAGCTGTACAATATGCATATCCAGCATTCTTCAGTATGCATGTCCAACATTCTTCAGTAATTACTATACAGTACAAAGTCCAAAATCTGGACTCGTCCTGACTTCGGCAATTTGGGATTTTTCCAGATATTAGATCATCAGTTTAGATCTAGTAAGATGGCATGTAGAAATTATAAAATTAAAAATATGAAATCGTGATTTATGAAATAATGAAGTATTTATGATCTAAAGGGTATCAAAATTTACAAAAAAAAAAAAAAAAAAAAAAAAAAAGCTTAATATTTATTTGTTTACTTTATTAAACATTTCTTTCAATGTAAGTTGTTTAAGTTGCGTCGTTTTTTGTGCTAAAACTTTCTCTTTAATTCTCTAGACAGACATAATCTCTTGTTTAGTTACATTGTTGCAGCCTTGTAACTGCTGTGTCGAGAATTCTGACTAACTTGTCAATCGAAATTTTTTCGTTTTCAGGAACTTCTCTGTCGCTTTCTTCACTATCGGTAGTGGTATTTTCTGGATTTAGAACCATACTACAGATTTCGCTATTCATTAATTGATTGATGATTGAGAAGCATTGTAATCACAATGAAAATCTTTTATATCATCTTCATTTATTACCGCTTCTCCACATTTCTTTACAAAATTTGTTAATTGGAAAATTTCACCTTTGTTTTATGATATCCGAAAACTTTTAAAATTTGCGGCTATCATCATCAAATTTAGCTGTCGTTCACTCTACATATTTGGCTATGCATCATGAGCTTGGCGACTAACGACAAGTTGTTCTATTAAATTTTATCTTGTTTCTATCACGCACTGAGACAATTAAACCTGAATTGTATTAGTTTACTTATTTATTATACTTGTGTCTATTTCTTGAACATGCTTATGGCTTATCAGAGTTCTGAATAAATAATGCTTATGGCTTATCAGAGTTCTGAATAAATAATGCTTATGGATTATCAGAGTTCTGAATAAATAAATTCCCAAACATACTTAAGCTTTATAGAGGGCTCATGCTAGATATCGTACCGCTTGAGGCAGTCTCCGTGGATCCTAAATTCTGCAACCCAGTGCAATCATACAAGCTCTGGCACTGGTTCTGGGTTTATGTGAATAACAAATCAGTTATTCTTAATTCAAATAGCCCTTAATGTAATCTTTGGGTCTATGAGTATCATCAACAAAATGTATTTTTAGCATATGGAAATAAATTTTTGTTAAATTTTTCCTTGTCAACATTTTTTAGTGCATTTAACTTTATCTGTAGTCATCGCCAATCGTAATGTCAGCGTAAAAGGATGCCATACTTCTTTATTATTCAATTACTAACATAAAAAAGAACTGTTTAAGCATCGCTACACGAGTCATTATTCAAGTTGTCATGTGTTGATAAACTTGCAGTGATGAAAGGAAAGTATAATAAATAATAATTCACCAGGTTGGTGTCAGATCAATGATAGCCAAATTACTGATCATACGAATTTATGCTAAAATGATTGTTTCTTCAATAACAAGGTATTTTATTTATGTCAAAGTGAAATTAAGAATCAGGACTCTCCAGATGTTTTATTATGCCTGGAGGGGGGATCAAATGGGCATTTATAAAGCCTTCGAGTAAAACGTTGTTGGTGGTTTTGAGGTCCAGATTCCAGATATTGGACATCCGGGTTTCAGACTTTGTACTATATCATGTTTTTTCCTTATTTACAGCATTACAGCCAGGGAAAAAAAGAGGCAAATAATCCATATCTCACTCTGCCTGTAATACTTATTCAAAGCAGCTGACCTTCCCATTAAAACCAGATTTCTCGTTTTTCATTACATCTCATGGTTTTTAATTTTTATGAATTTAGATCATCGTTTTCAAATGCAATTTTAGAAAGAACTATTGATTATTAAAAGAAATGCTATCAAGTAGTTTGATAAGTTTTTAAAAAAGCTAAGCTTTAAAAGAAATTAAGCTTTAATTAAGAAATATTGGCATTTCTTAATGAAATTTAGATAACGTAGTCTTAAATTATTTAAGATAACATTATTATTTCGTACAAAAACTTAAATTGTTAAAATACTATTTGCTGTCTTAGCAATATTCAGCACAATTTTTATAATTAATTGTATTTAGTTTGAATTGTTTAAATTCATTATGGATTGTATAACTTTATTATAGAAGCTTAACTAACTTTTAGCTGCAGCAGTGGTCGAATGGTAAGACTGCTGAATATTGGTAGTTAGTCCCAGGTTCGAACCCAGGTTAATGGGCAGTGTGCATGGTTAGTTTTTATGGTTTTCCTGATTTCTATTATAAATATGAGCCATTTTTCCTTATAAATGAATGAATGCATCCTTCATGAAGCACTCATCAGGGGTCACTGGCAGTCCGTAGGTACCATAGCCCTTTAAGAGATCACCTTGGGGGGTCATGATCTTGGAACCCTAGGGATATTTCCTCCATTTTTATTTGCCTCTCCTTATCTGTTCTATTTCCATTTCTTCCAGGCTCATAGTTTGCCTTTGGAGGTTGGGTCTCAAAATGAAATTCTGTTACTTATCTTTCAAGGAGAGAAAACTTAACTGTTCCTGATGTTGTCAATCAGTTAGTGACTTGCTCTTAGGGTCACTGGCTTGGGGATAAGCTTTTAGGAATTCCTGCTTTCAGGAAAGTTGACTGTGAGGCTTCAGATTGTGTAATGAACCGGTTAACCCTGACACAGGACTCTGCATCCTCTTGTTCGACTTCATAGTGGGTTTGGTTGCTGGGTCCGATTCTTTTATTTCTTTCAGATATGGCCTCTAACACCTTAAACAAATGTTAAAAACATTTCATTCTCAAAAGAAAAAAAAAAATTAATGCTAATGCTTAAATTCGTCCATCCCATTTTCTTGTAATAAATAATTTTAAAGGTGATCTTAAAAAAAATTCTCCTTTCCTAATATAAAAATATATCTACTCTATTGGAGAACTAAGAAATATCAAATAACCTCAATCTGGAGACCTCCTTATTGAAACTGCCTCTGTAACCCACTTTTTTCAGTCGCGACCCCTTTTTATCACTGATATTTTTTCGCGACCCACAGGACCCCATAATATTTACAAAAATTTTGTGGGACCCCATAAGTATTGCGCAAATCCAACACATACGTGAGTGAAACTGTCAATTTTCTCACTCGTACTGTCATATACTATTGGAGTTTTAGGTCATTAACTTTAATTTCTAATTTTAACACATATAACAATGTGAAAATTTTAAATAAGTAACAGACAAAATGACAACGTCATGTGTAAAGCAAGGAAATTGAACATTTATTTATATTATAAAAAGAATGCGTCGAAACATTTTCTTTTTCTTTTTTTTCCCCTTTGTTTGTATTGTCTTTATCTATTTTCAGATACATTGTGCAGAAATATTTGGTAATTGTAAAATTATTATAATAAGTTAAAGAAATATCAAAACTGCTAAAATTTTTTGCCGACCCACAGTTTAAGAAACCCTGACTTAGTGTATGATACCTAAAAGTTTGAGGCTTTATAATCCAAAAGAGATGGCTGTTTGTCATTTAATTTGATTTTGTGTTGGTATAGCGTCATGGTTTAATGCTATGTATTTTAGTGTATCTCTTGTTTTAGGATTTTGCTTCTGAAATCTGATACCATTATCTGTATCTTATTATTCCTCTCAGCTTTTATCATTTTCTTATGTCTGTTGATTTTATAAGTGTTCTGTTTTTTAACACGTTGAGCGCCACGTCGGCTATCTGTGGCTGACACTAGATTTTCCGTTTAGGCCGCGTCGACCGTCGCTGGCTGACAACGTGTAACATGATATATAACTATAAAATTTACACGGTTTTATGGAATTAATACCCTATTATAGTAAGTAAAGACATGGACTGTTTGTGATACAGCCTGTAAATCCTCTTCCGATTTACCCAGGGGTAATATTGATGTACTTTTTCCAATGGCAGATTGTGAACAATTACAAATGTAACCCAGTCCATAATTGATTCATTACAGGATCAATGGATTTCATTGAAATGCAGTAAATATAAAAACGGTTCTACATTACAGCTATTACAAAATGTGACAACTTTCTTAGTCTTTTTCTGGCCATTACTCTACCAGCTTCTGTTGCATTTTTTCTCATAACATAATTTACAATATTTCCGTACTTCAGAGGCGTTTCCTGGTTTTCTTTGAAGTTTATGTTGTCGTTTTTTTAGATATTTTTGCATTTCTGTTCGATAGAATGTCTTCTTTTTCACAACTTGTAAGAGATAACTCTAATTCTTTCGGGAATTCAGTAATGCTAATTTTCTGCTTCCTAATATCTTTGTATAGAATGTAACTTTTTACAAAACAGACTTGGCGCGTAACATGTTGAATGAATGCTATAGGAATCACATTCCAAATGTAAACTATCTTTTACTGCTATAAGAATCACTGGTCCTACAATAGCAGCGCTTTTAAGCGGCGCGCGTTGCCCTGAATGGGATTGCCTAAGAAATACGCGTGGCGCTCAACGTGTTAAACTTGCCTTTACCTAGTGTGTGTTTGTCAGTTATTTGTGTGTGAAAGTATGAAACCTGTACTTGGCACATATAACCTTTAATGTTTTATGCCAGAAATCCACTAGCACGACCACTACCTTCATGACCCTTAGGCAGATAGCTCTCACGTGCTTTGTAATATTCAAATAAACTAAACTAACATTTAATACATTAAATATCTGCATTTAATTTTATTTCAGATTTTTGAATGATTCACCACTGCTTTTGTTCTGATGATTAAAATAACATGAATTATTCATTTAATTTTATTATCATATTATTTAAAAGTACTTAATAAAAAGTGTTAGAGTTCACTTTAGGGTACCCCTTGTATTTTCACCAAGTTGTTGTTTCATTTATGGTAACCTGTGTGGTTTAATGTTATGGAAACCCTATTATGACTTAATCGTTTGCAATATTCCATTAAATTTTGAATCATGAGATGTTTTGTAAGGGCTTTTGAGGTGTGTGTGGTTAGGAAGTACATTCCTTGTTTCATTGTTTAGACGGTAGAATGGCTGAATGTAGTAATGTTAATTTGAAGCTATGTACGATTTGGAACAAAAGGGGAAAAGTGTATTAATTGACTGGTGTGTAAATGAAGGTTTACTTACAGTCAAAAGTCGTTAATCCGGACTCGTCGGGACTTCGGCGATTCCGGATTATAGATCATCAGTTTAAATCTCGTAAGATGGCATGCAGAAATTCTAAAATTAAAAGTATGAAACCGTAATTTATGAAATAAAGAACAATTATGATCTAAAAAGTATCAAATTTTACAAAAAAAAAAAAAAAAAAAAAGCTTAATATTTATTTGTTTACTTTATTAAACATTTCTTTCAATGTAAGTTGCTTAAGTTGCTTCGTTTATGTGATAATACTTTCTCTTTATTCTATAAAACAGACATAATTTCTTGTTCAGTTACGAAGTTCCGCTGTTCAAGTCCCGTTAATTGCTGTGCCGAGAATACTGACTAACTTGTCAATCGAAATTTTTTCGTTTTCACTAACCTCTCTATCACATTCTTCATGTCTTTATCCATTTTTTGTTTGTTGGACATCGAAACATACTTTCGTTTTGTAGATCCTTTGGAAGTTCCAGCATCGAAAATTCTATTTGACATAATCGAAAGTTCAAGTTTACTTTTATAAAATTGCTCTTACAGTCTGCAAAAAATAATAAGCAGGATCCAATTCGAAGATTGAGGAACAACGCAATCATTAACATTAACTGAAATAGATAATTAGAGCTTACACCGTTCGTTATACATTAAACGCGCAGGCGAAAACGTATTCTGCACTTGCGCACATGCATATGCGCAGTAGTCAAGGTCTTATGCGCACGCGTACGCGCTGTAAACGCCGTGCGCATGTGCCAACGCGGCGCATGCGCAGAAAGTTTTTAGCTTCAGGTCCGGATTATAGATCATTCCGGATTATGGGTGTCCGAATTAACGACTTTTGACTGTAGTAGCCATTTTATGAACAGTTCGGAATACGTAGGATATTTTTTACTCTTATTTTTGTGAATTTATGTGGCGATGCTGATATACGGATTCTAGTTCAGATAATTTTATTAAGTTTTTGGATGCTGTTAAGGAATTTTGTGCGCCACAGAGATAAGTGGATATTTGCTTTGTGTAATGCTTAAATGCATAACAGGTTTTTTTTTTTTTTATTTTTTTTTTTAATGTTGTTTTATTGTTTGGTTTAAAATGTAGTTTATTGAGATTATGTATTTTTTGTTTGCCGCTACTGTAGAATTGGGTGCTCCTTTGACTTTTTAAGTGAAAATACATCGATGTGTACATGGGCAAAATCAAAGGAGTGCACAAAGCCTAGTTTGTGCAATTCTCTGATGTTTTTTGAAGTGAAAATTGGCCATTGTGTACATGGATAAAGTAAAGAGAGTGCGCAATGCCATTTTTGTGCAATTCTGGGATATTTTTTAAAGTGAAAATAGGTCGATGTGTACATGGATACTTTTTGCCTCAAAAATCGCCACTGCGCAAGCCAAACTAATAAATAATAAGTCAAAAGACTTGCACAAATTTGGTATCCATGTACACATCTCTAGTTTCTCAAAGGGGTACCCTAAAATCAAGTGTGTAGCTAGAGGGGGGCATCTGTCTCCGGGTGCAGAATTCAAGGGGCGCCAAACTGATGTTAGGACATTTTAGAATCAAATGTTTTCCATCCTTGGCAAGCAGTAGGGGGTGCGAAATCTTCAGTTGTCCCTGGGCGCTGAAAACTCTAGCTGCGACTCTGCCTAAAATATACTTTTACCATAAAAAGTTTTCTTCCTTGCTTAGGATTTCATTAGCATAACATTATAAGAAAAGTATAAAATAGAATGAAATTAGTCTAAATGTAGAACTTAAAGAACTACTTAAGTACAATTAAACTTATAGATCTTAAGTAACTTAAGTTCTAACTAAAGCTCTAACATAAGGAACTTAATTAATTTTAGAACTGTAGTAAAATTAAATTTAGAATAAAGAAATAAGTATTAAATTAATATATTTTATATCACATTACTAGTTTAATAATCTAAATTGTGCATTCATTGCCAAGTGACTCAAATTGATCTGGAGTTTTTTTGAAGTAGTGTCAGAGCACAATGCTAAAATCTTCTAATTTTTTTATGTTTCAGGGTTAGCAGTTATGCTTAGCTATCTGCTGTAGTTAGTTATCTTGAGTATCTTCCTCTTTCTGTGCATATAGGGTTATGGCTGTGAAAACTTGTAAAAGAGAAATTTAAAAAAAGATGTTAACAAAATTTCCAGAATTGTTAAGCATCTAAGTGATAAAAGTAAAATATATTTTTTTTTAATGCCTTAAGTTCCACAAATTCCAGAAAGTAAAATTGTCAGTTTATTAATTTTTAAATATTTTATATATAATGATTTCAAAATATTAATATGCTAATCACCAAATGGATCAAAAGTATAAAATTATTTTGTGTTTTCTTATGTCTGTTTAATGCATAAAATGAGATTTGTGTAGCTAATTCTTTTTGGCAATTACAGTTTTCTTTATCTTGAATGATGTTTTCTTAACCAATGTTTAGATAAATCTTTAAAAGAAACACTTCAGAAAATTTATACATGTACTTACTTCAATAAAACTGATACCATTCCCAATGAGACAGAATCAAATACAAGTTTATCTGAAGAAAAAGAAAATGAACCTCAGGTTTTTGTTGAACCACAGTATGGGCAATCATCTGATGGCAATCAGCATTCTGAGGTAAAATGCTAGAAGTTATAATTTATTCAGAGCAATTTAAAGTAACCTTTTTAGAAATTTTATGGTGCAGTATCTCTTAAAAAAAGGACCTGATTGTTTATTAAACTATGTGTGGGATTCCCCCCCCCAACACACACATTTAGAACATTTATCTTTCTCTTACACCATTAAATATTTTATCTGAATATCTAATTACATTGTATATTTTAATATTAACTTTAGTTGTAATCTATTAATCGGCTGCATATAACCACTGTATTAAAATGCCAATCAATTAGAAGCTAATTAATTGTATTTTTTATTTTACTTAATAATAGAAACAGCTTTTCTAAACTACTATCCTTAATGCCCAAATCATATATGTAAAGATAATTTTGGACATCAGTGTATATGCTGGTTGCATATACACTGATGTCCAAAATTATCTTTACATATATGAAATTAAGTATTTCTCAGAAATTTTAAACTGTAATTTTGTGAATTTTTGTGAAATATTACATAACATCATAACACATAAATACAAAGAAAAAAATTTAAGAGCACTGCATAGGATGTAAAACTGTAGCATAAAACTATAAAAATGGTAATAATATGTTATGAAAAGAATTAGGGGTAGAAGAATAATTCAGCGGGGAAAAAGGCTTATAGCTATGTTATATAATCTACCCTAATTTGTAAACACATATTGCAGTATACACTCTGTCACACACACACACACACACACACACACACACACACACACAAAAAAAAAAAAAAAAAAAAAAAAAAAAAAAAAAAAAAGACATTCGGACAAAATCGAGCCACAATCACTAAACTAGGCAGAAATGTAGTCTTGTAAGAGATTTACAAATGATTAAAATTTCGAGGGCAATGAGACAAGGGTAAGTGCTCTTATAAACACCTGAGATGTGCAGCTGGGAGAGTTAAAAAGCATAATTGCTCGTGCCGCAAAGCTATTCAAATGAAACTCTCGACTTGGCTGGATGGTATTGTGACTAGAGAATTATCTGAAGTGTAACCAGCAGTAATACAAACAATTGCTGGACTTTGAGAAGGGGCATATAGTAGGCCTCTGAGAAGCAGGTTGGTCAAACAGGCACATAGTTGCTCGGTCTTGATAACAGTGGCTCACGGAAGGAATAGTCTGTTGTCGTGGAGGATCAAGCCATCCCAGGATCACAAATGAGCATGAGGATCGCTCAATTACAAGAGCACTCACTTCTGCACTAACAATGTAACTAGTATCGATTTGATGTCATTTACCACCTTCCAAGCATCCCGCTGTATCAAGGGAAACCATTTGGAGATGACTTGACATCCATTAAGATGATTAGCACTGACCACACATCATAGGCAGTGTCTATTTTTACCGAACTTGTGCAAGCTGGAGTGTGACCGGCTGGAAGCGTGTATCTTCAGTGATGAATTTTGATTCAGTCTCAGTGCTGATGACCAGCGCACGTGCATATGGAGGTGGCAAGGCCAGCGGTCTGATCTGGCATTTGTTGTTGAGCAGCATACAGTGATAACACAAGGTGTGACAGTGTGGGGAGCGATTTGTTGAGATATTTGATCACCTCTAATTGTCCTTCAAAGTGCTATGATGGTAGACAATTATGTCGGCGACATTTTAATGCCGGTTGTACTGCCTGTGCTATCACGTTGCCCAGGTGCCATTTATCAGCAAGACAACACTCGTCCACATACTACGTGACTCTCCCAACAGTAGCTTCAGAGATATGATATACTCCTGTAGCCTGCTAGGTCACCAGACCTCTCATCAATAGAGCATAATTGGGACATGCTTGCAAGGCAACTGCAACCATCGTGGAATATTAGTGAATTAACTGCCCAGTTGCAAAGCTTATCGTATGATCTTCCGCAGGGTGTGATAGGTGACCTACTTAATGATTCAATGCCACTTGGTGTTTCGGCTTGTCTAGCTGCCAAAGATGCTGTCTATTTACTGATTTGTAATTTGATTTAATTAACGATTTTTTTATTCGAATTTTTAATAATTTATCTTCTCATACGCTACATAAATGTTAAGTTTCAAGATAGTAGTTCGTTTCCTTCAGTGTGTATACATTTTTTTTTGATAGAGTGTATTTTCATATTTATAGTAATGTTATTGACCAGTGTTTGGGGAAATAAGTTCCATTCCTCTGGAATTAAGTCTTCAGGGCGTTTATATCTCTAGGAGAAGGATTCTGCATGTAACTGCTTTTCCAAAATAGTCTCATAAATTTTGTATTGGGTTAAGATCAGAAGATTTTTCTAGACACAGTGTTCACTCAGTGTCCTTGCTTTCAAGGAATTGGTCAACTAGTTTTGTTGAATGTGGGCAAGCATTATTGTTCATAAATAAAAAGCCAGATCCATATACACCTCTGAAAAGTATTGCATAACATCATACATATCTCTGGCTGGTCATTGATCCGCTGTTGAAAACGCATAGGGGCATATGTCAATCATTATTTCTCCCCATACCATTACACTTGTATTTCTGATTCAATCGCTTTCCATAGTGTTCGAGAAAAGATTTCACATTGTTTACTACATCCAGATGTAAATTACATTGTACTAAATCCAGATGTACATTTTAAATCGCATATTAAACTAAACCTCAAGTCGTCAGTAAAGAGAATGTGTGACTGTTGATGTTCACTTCTGTTCTGATGTTCTTTTTATGAATTAAGGCACCCCCTTTTTTGTTGCGAAGACAATTAAACGTACAGCTTTGACTGTTTGGCATATAGTCCTTTTTCCCAGAATTATTTTATAAACCTTTTAGCTGTCAAGTTATTTTGATGACTTGGGTGCATAAATTGTCAATTTTTTAATTCCAAAAATGAAATGTTTTCCTATCAATCAAAAAAATAAAAGTTTAAACAAAAAAAAAAAAAAAAAAAAAAAAAAAACTGCGCACTTTGAACTTTAACCTCTATCCTTTGAAACCTTTTGTAAAGTGCTGCCATTTGAAGCCGAAATGAAATTCTCACGATATATATTTGTATATAACAATACAATGCACTAAAAAAAAAATTAGCCCAAGTAATATTTGGGCGGGACATTTTGGAGTACCAATGGTGTCCCCGAGATTATCTCGGGCATGACAGTTAAAAAGGTTAAAATTGTGTACTTTCATAATAATCTTAGTAATTTCATCTCTTGCAAAACAGTCTTCTGTTACACCGATGCATTATGCCGTGTAAAATTTAAATGCTTCAGAGCATCTATGGAAATCATTTTCTGTAATTTCCTTCTTTGCGTTTTGCATTATCGTGATCTCTTTTGATATCTCGTATCTTTTTCTCACTTCGTTTTTAGGGAAAAGATAAATAGATAATATATATAAAAAAATAATAATTGCCGAGGGTTAAATTAAGTAAGAAGCATGGAGAGTAAGATATGAGCTCATGGAAGTCATAAAATGATGCTCAGTGAGTGAAAAATGGGTCAGTACATTGTCATGGTGATACATGCAAGCTCAGTTTGTCTACATCTGAGGACATTTCCATGAACTCTGCTTCCTAAGATGTCTTGCAACAGTGCATTAGAACAGCTCATGGTAATTGCTCAACGAATTGCTATTTTTAAAATATGGAGGCAAAACACTTTTTGTTGTTTAATTTATAAAACATGTTGAAAAATCATATAAACCTAGATAAATGAAGATATTTATTTTTTTAGTTTTGGACAGAAGGGGAGGATTTAACACTGGTGAAAGGGGTGCATGGGTCAAAAAAGGTTTAGAACCCCGAGGTGCTGTATGTTATCATACTAATTTGAGTCGGGCATAGATTTAACAAATATCTTGAGATTGGTTATAACAGCGCTTTTCAACCAGTGGTACATGTACTAGTAGTGGTACACAACAGAAAAATTTGAGATTGGTTATAACAGTGATTCTCAACCAGTGGTATGTGTTCTAGTAGTGGTACACAACAGAAAAATTTGAGATTGGTTATAACAGCGATTCTCAACCAGTGGTACACAATAGAAAAATAGATGGAATGTGAAGGAAGTATTTTTAACTATTAAATTAAAAATTAAATACTCCAACATCCTGTTTAAGTTTTTTTTCTAGCATTTGTAAATTTATGCTATCTGAGCTTTGTTCAAGGTCAATAGCCACTCATAGACTTTAGCAAAATAATCCGTTTTTATTTTCACAAATATTCTTTTAGCCATAGACATAACAAAATTTGTCATAAATGATATGTTTAAAAGGAGTAATAGAAATGGGTGTTGTGTTTAATAGAAAATAAAAATAGTTCCTATAAAAAGTTAATAGTGTCTCATTAATTCTGTTTCAGTTAATTTATTAGCATGTCTACACTTTCGATTTGCTGTAACAGCAGGTAGTTTGTCTTCTTGTTATTATTTTTCTTACTTATTTTTCTGCGCAGTTTGCGAATATCGAATATCGTTGTTTATTTTTGGAAAACTCATAATATATTGTGCATTTAAATATTTCTGAAAACATAATAAAACAAACCTAGGTTCTCAAAATGGAAAAATGGCTAGGATTGACTAAGTAGTATAGTGGTGATTCACAGGTAATGGATCTAGGAAAATCTACTAGCATTAAGAATATTAAAAAGAAAAGAATATTTATAGAAAGGTATAATGAAAATTATTTATATTGGTTTACTTGAAATGGAGATGAAATGGATCCTCAACATGTTGTTTGTGGTGAACTATTTATTATCCAAAGTATGAAACCATTGTTTCTTAAAAGATATCTTGAATCTAAGCTTGCCAATTTGGAGGATAAATGTGAAGAATATTTTAAGAGGAAATTATCGGAATTCAAAAATAGTAAACAAGTAATGAAAGGTTTTGTTACTTCAAGTGTTTTTCACTTAGCTTTTTCACTTTTCACTTTAAGCCTAGTAAGCCTAAGTTGCCATGACTTTGCAGGCTCACACTATTGGAATATATTACCAGCAGCTAAAGATATCATTTTAACATTATTTAACAAAAAAGCAGCAAATGAATTTAATACTATTCTGCTATCAAATGATACAGTAAATCAATGAATTCATGAAATGGCAAATTCCATGAAAGAGACATAATAAATAAAACACAGTGAATATTTCACATTGCAATTGGATGAAAGTACTGATATCATGAACTTTGTTCAATTATTAGTTTACGTACGCTTCGAAGAAGATAAACAAATTGCTGAAGAGTATTTATTTTGTGAATCTCTTCATAATAGAGCTACTGCAAATGAAATTTTCAAAGTAATTGACAGTTTTATGTCCGAGAATGATATTCCTTGGAATAAGTGCATTGCCATATGCAATGACAGAGCTCGGGGTCTAACAAAGAAACATTCCAGTGTTATTTCTCAAACAAAGAAAGTTTCACCTGAAACTAAATTTTCTCGCTGCTCTCCATTTCATCATGAAGCTTTAGTAGCCAAAACAATCTCCGAAAACCTGAAACTTGTTTTGAATAAAGCTGTGAAAGCTCTTAATTTTTATTAAAAGCTGAGCTTTAAATTAAAGAATATTTATGATTTTATGCCAGGAGATGGACAGTGAACATGAGATGCTTTTGTTGCATTCCAAAGTAAGGTGGTTTATCCAGAGGCAAAGTTTTAAATAGTCTTTTTGAACTACGGTCAGAAATTCAAATTTTCCTTTATGTTTCAAAATCTTTGAATTGGAAAAATGTTTATTTAGAGAATTATGGTTGGGTACGTTGAGCATATTTTTAGCTGATAATTTTGGAAAGTTAAATGAACAAAATTTAGGATTACAAGGACAAACTGTTAATTTGTTTTGTTTTAGAGATAAAATAAATGCAATGATAAAAAAAAAGGAGCTAATAATTGAAGAATTGGATAATAATATTTTTACCAAAAATAATTTGAAAATAAAAGAAGAATTAGCAGCCAACATTAAAAATCTGTTTTTATTTGATAAATAATTTGAACGTGTAATTCCCCAAGGACTATGAAAAAGAAAATTGAATTAGAAATCAGTTTTGTTCAAATGTGCCTGAAATTTTATCTTGTGAAGAAAAAGAACAGTTGATAGAAATTTCCTGTGATCGAGCTCTAAATGAAGATTTAAAAAAAAAAAAAGTTAAATTTGCCTGAACTGGGGGGGGGGGGATTTTTTTTTTTAATGCATTTCGAATAAAGCTATTAAATTTTTGTTGCCTTTTCAAACAACCCATTCCTGCAAACAAGTATTTCCTTCCATATGATACAATGCTGGCCATTAAAATTGTAACACCGTGAATGAAAGCAAATGCAAAAAAAAAAAAGATATTTAGTGTACATGAACAGTATGAAGACAAAATGATTAAATTTGTAAGTAGTTTGGAGATTTACAGGGATGCGAAATTAAATACCTTTAAATACTTCAATGAAAATTTTTTTTGACAAAGAAAAAGATTACTTTATTAATTGAATGAAATTAAAGTAAATTCTGACTCTTTTAAAACAAAACTGGGAATAAAGAACATCAATGAAGTATTTAAAAGTTTTCCTTTTGTTTTCAAAATTCCATCTTTTGTTCCAAATTTTAGCCTTTTGAGTGATTACTTTCTCGTCAAGGATTTTTAGTTTCACCAATGAAGCCAAAATGGCAAGCCTGTACTCATTACGGTTGCGATATTCCTAATTTCGATTGAGGTCTAATGAAAGTGCTCAAAGTTTTTAATTATTGTTTGTGTGTTTTAATTTAACTCTTTTTACCTAAGTTCTATAATTTCTCTAAAAGTTTATATTCTTTGGATTATGTGGTGTATGTTTAAAAGTAAAATTTTGATTTATATTTTTCACTGAGGTATTTTTTCACTTTCGGTTTCAATTCTTTGAATAAAAAAGCAATTCATTTCTCAACAAAGTAAATTCTAATTAGAATAAAGCGATTTATTATTTAATTCGCTTTATTCTAATTAGAATTTACTTTGTTTCTTCCTTGCTTTGGGGAAGTGCCAGAATTTTCGCATGAACTATTTTAATTAAAATACATTGAAATGGTTCATCAGCTAATTCTGGATACAGAAAAGCAAGGATTTTTGTAGAAGAGAGATTTCAATTTATTTCAGTGCTCCTCCCCCTTGACAAAGTGACATTAATGTTGATTGGATTCCTTTTCTGTTATGTTCTGTTTTTCATTTAATTAATTTTTTTAATTGGGATATTGCTAAAGTTTTGGTTTTAACTTTTTTTAAATTCTTTGCATTTATAGGATTATTTGAAATTTATTAACTATGAATTTCAATTTTGGTCTTGGTGAAATATTACTTCTAAAATTTCTTACTTTGTGTTTTTACTGATAATTTTTCAGTGGCTTAATATGCAAAAATACTAAGCATGTTTATATATATATATATATATATTTTAAATTTTTGTAATTATAAAATATATATAATAAAGGTTATAAATTTGTTTCCTGTAGTATTTAAATTAACATACAGTTATGAATATTACAGTTTATAATTTATTTTTTAAATTTCGAGTTTTGTCCTCTGTATTTAATATTTAGGTTGAAGATTCTGTGTTGCCTCAACAAAGTGGATTACCAACTGCCCCTACTGAAAGGTCATATTACCAAATAGAAAGTTCGTCCTTATATACTGAGCAGAATCATCCTATTCAAGAAGTTTTATCTGTGCAAGGCAATTTAAATTTTTTGCAAGAGTCGCAAATAGAAATTAATTGTAAGGAATATTTTTTTGAAGTCAAAAGTATACAGTATTCTGTTTTATAAGAAAATAGTTTAATACATTTTATTTTTGTCCTCTTTGTAAGGAATATTTTTTTTTAAAATTAAAAGTATGCAGTATTCTGTCTTATAAGAAAATAGTTTTAATACATTTATTTAATTATATACATTAATTGCTGCTGCTGCAACAGATTTTTTCCTGTAGCAGAATTGTTAATATTTCAAGGTTATATTGTTAGCAGATGTCCAGCCTAATGATATGGTGTTTAACATTAGACAATTTTAACCATAACTAACTGGAGTGCCATTTTTTGTCAAACAGCGGAGACTTACCGTATATCCATATGTAAGTTGCCTCTGCCCCGCCCCCATGTTCTAGAAAAAATTTCAGATAAACAAACTTCTCTCATAAGTGACGCCGATACAACAGCATGCTGATGTTCTTAATAAAATTTCATCTGCGATTTAGCAATTTTTTTTTATTTCGATTTTAGTCCATGATTCAATTTTTAAATATAAACAAAATTTTCGAAGAATTTTATTCAAATTCTGATTCAGAGTCAGAATTACCACATAAACTCTGAAATTCTTTTTCAGTCGTTCGCGAGTCATCATAAATTTCATAACTTGATTCATCGGTAGCTAGTCTCATTATCGTCACTTGGATAGATTGCATCATCTTCTGGGCCATCCAAGTTATTGGAGATGCAACACTTTCTGAGTGATTTGATTATAATTTAGCTGGAATCATGTCCAAGTGTCTTTCACCCATTGTGCAATTAAAGTTAGGCTCAGTCTTCTAATATTCTTACCTTTGGTTTTAGTAGGCAAATCAGATTGTATGCATTCGGACGAATACTTACACATATTGACCTTGAATGGCTTACTTATGCTGACATCCAGTTATATAATAGTGTATATCCAGTGCTTGTAAAATGGATCTCAGCCCTCCTAGAATAACAGAAAGTTTAATTTTTGAACTTCCTGCATGCTTTTTTACCACTTCTGAACAATGTGGTTGAAACATATCCCAAACCGAAAGGGAAGGTTCCCCCAAAAGTACACTTTTTTTTTTTTTTTTTTTTGCACCATACACATTTAAAAACCAGTTAATGTTTAAGGCAACTGGTTTAACCAGTTGCTCGTGGCCAGAAAAATGGTTAAATCCATCCAACCATTTTTCTGGCCATGAGCAAGAACACCTGACGGATATGCTGTTGTGTGGAGTATTTGGATTCCAACGAGCATATTCATATTTTTAACATTTGCATGCAGTATCCATGTTTGCTGCGCTTTACCTGTGTGCACTAATTATAATGTGAATATAAAGACTTAAACTTTTTGCCGAGAGACTCGCTTGCACTTGTACTTCACTGTTCCTGCTTGTTCTTAGTTGACATTTGGAGTCAGCTTATCATCATGTATTTCAATTTCATATTTTACCTTTTAATTTTAAATAAAGTTAATTTTATGCTTTACTAGTCTTTGGCTTTCCTTTTAATGAACCTTCTGACAAGTTTGGAGTATTGTGGCATTAAACCATTGCCATATTTGGTGATCCAAGAAGAATGCTCCAGTTATGCTGGACCAGAGTGAAGTGCTCGAAGAAGCTGAATATTGAGATTCCATGGCAGCAATATCTGCAAATGATTCCATTGTGGAGCTATAAATCAGGAATAGTTTAATGAAAGTATTTATTACTTAATGTGTTGATGATGATATTGGATAATTTTTCCCCAGGTTGTCGTGTGTTTCGTAGTGCAGGTAGGACTGGTTCTTGGGAGTTGATTTTTCCTTCCTTATCAATGTGTACAGTATTCTTTTATGTAGTGGATATTTTATGATTTCATGAAAATTCTGCTGATGAATTTTTATTATGCGACTGAAAGTGCAGCAGCTACACATGAGTCGCATGTTTCCATAAAATCATCGTCTTTTTGGAAAAGAAGCTCTGCCTTATGGTTTGTCAGATTGGAGTTGCAGTTTTCGCTTTCTGACATAACTTCAGATTTAACAAAATTTAAACGTGCTGCTGTAGACTCTGGTACTTAATTCTGTTGGGGATATCATTTTAAAACCTCCCGCTACTGGAAAATATGATGTCCTATTTTCCCGGCTGATGTCCTGTACTGCATATTCAAGATTGTGCACTGATATTTTTTGAAAAATATTTTCTCAACAATCGATTTGGCTAGGGCATACCATCAAATCCCTGTTAATCCAGAGGATATGCCCAAAACAGCTGTAATCATCCCATTTGGATTATTTGAGTTTTTTAAAATGCTGTTTGGGTATTAAAATGCGGTTCAAACATTCCAAAGATTTATTCATCAAGTATTTTCTGGTTTAGATTTTTGTATTCCTTACTTCTATGATCAACTTGTGGCTTCAGTGGATGAAAACCACTTTTTAAAATTTTTGACAGACTAAAGAAATATAAGTTAAAATTGAATCCTGCTAAATGTGTTCTTGAAATGTCATTGTTATCATTTCGTGGTTGTTTAATTATCCCTTCTGGTATTTGGCCACCTCCTGAAAAAATTGCAATCATTTATAACTTCCCTAAACCTGTAACAATGTCTGAACTAAAGAGATTTTTGGCAATGTTGAATTTTTATTGGCTGTTTTTGTCTAAAGCAACAACTACCCAAGTGCCACTTCATGTGCTTTTGAAAGATTCTAAGAAAAATGATAAACATCCTATTCTTTGGACAGCAGAAACAAGTATGGCCTTTGAAAAATGTAGAACTGATCTGGCAAATGCAGTGCCACTTGGCTACCATGTCCCTGCTCAGCGGCTGTCATTAATGGTTGATGTCTCAGATGTGGGTATTGGAGCTGCTTTGCACTCGCTACGCGATAAACATTGTCAACCACTAGCTCCCTCCCCCCCTCGAAAACTGACTCTAGCTGAAACTAAGTAAAACACATATGATAGAAAATTACTCACTATCTGTCGCACTGTATTTTCAACATAATCTCAAGGGACAACATTTTACAATATACACAGATCATCGCCCTTTAATATTTTTATTTACAAAAAATTCAGATTCTGCTTCCCCCACGCAGATAAGATATATGAATTATATTGCCCAATTCAGTACCGATATGCTACACATTCCTGGACCAGAAAATGTCATGGCAAGTTGCATTGTAATGGACAGCTCTGCTATCAGTAAGCTAGATATAACAAGCTTTGTACAGATTGCTCAGTCTCAACAGAATGATTCTGAACTGAGTCAGTTACTGCCTACAGAAAGTAGATCATTAAAACTACAAAAGATGGAACTTTCCCCTGGTTAAATATATACTGTGATGTAAGTGGAGACAAGATCTGTCTTTTTGTTTTGAACCAGTTTCAAAAGGCTGTGTTTACTTCTTTCCATGGACTATACAGGCATATGGTCACCAAAAAGTCTCATTCTCTTTTATTTTGTGTGGCCTTCTGTGTCAAAAGACTGTGTTGCTTGGAATCTCTTTGCATCGACTGCTAGTCATACGGTATGCTCACAGTTCATTGTAGCCCTTCACTGTACCCAGTCAACATTTTGGGCATGTGCATTTGGACATAGTCAGGCCCTTGCCACCTTCAAAAGGATACTCCTTGTAAGCCTCATCGACCGATTCTCCTTTTGGCCAAAAGCAATATCAATCAAAGATATTTCAGTAAAAACTGTTGCTCAGGCATTTTTTACACATTGAATTGCTCCCACTACCATAAGTACCGATCAAGGCTGATAATTCGAGTCATGCATTTTCACTACTCTTAATTAAATTCTTGGTGTTTAGAATAGAAAAGAAACACGCCAATGTGACAATTAAAATCGCAATAACAACCTTGTATTTGGTATACATATATTAAAACAATCGATTTCGAGGGCAGCTAAAAGTCCCTCCTCATCAGGAGAACGAAATTACTAGAAAGGGGAAAAAGAAGGAAAGTAAAGCATTGGCAAAGGAGTCTCGGAAACACTTGGTCGTTATCAGCACACACGTGGTAGTAACGGGATTTTAAATCGGATTTACACTGGCCGCCTACTTTTACTGAGCCAGGCTATCTGATCAAACATATAACACAGAGACTAAAACGCAAACAAATCAAGGAAGTCAAAAAATAGGGAGCGAGGGGGCAACTGCAGCTTCACGCACCAAGTCTGAACCTCGAATGACCCTGTTTCTGAGACTCCTTTGCCAATGCTTTATTTTTCTTCTTTTTCCCCTTTCTAGTAATTTTGTTCTTCTGATGAGGAGAGACCTTAAGCTGCCCTCGAAATCAATTGAGTGTTTTAATATATGTACACCAAATGCAAGGTTGTTATTCTTGGTGTTTACCCAAGTCGGACTTCTCCATACCACTCTGCAGCTAATGGATTACTTGAGAGAATCCATCATTCACTAAAACAAGTGTTAATGTGCCATAATAATGTCCAGTGGAAATGAGCCTTCCAGTTATCCTCTGTCTTCAAGCAACATGCATAGATGATCTGAGAGGAACTTGCTCAAAAATGGTTTATTCGTCTCCCTGCAGAATGGCAGGCTATTCGTCTCCCTGCAGAATTTTTGCAACCCACCCAAGTTTCTAATTCTTCTGATCCATTTTATTTTTACAGAAGGCAATGAGAGAGATTTCATGAATGCCTACATCAGCCCATCTTTTTTTAGGTTCTGCATATAAGTCGACCTGTACTCTGATGTTTGATTTTTTTCCTTAAAATTTTCAAATTATTTATGAGTATATATATATCTATATACACGGCATTTGTACTCCCAATACTGCCAGTAAAATTATACACAGATTAAATTTCTGTAATATTTATTATGTACCATTTAGCATTAATCCTATATTTTTCTAAAGTACGAACGTTTTTGTATTGAATAAATTATGAAAATATATTCTCATACGACTTTCAATAGCATCTCAGCCAATAACATCTTCTGGCCTGACATCTCAACATCGCACAAGAAGGCCTAGTGAAGAAGCAGCAGCAATGTCCAGTCACCCACCTCCTGGAACTGGAAACTTAGTACTGCCTAACTCAGCATCTTTACAGCCGCAGCAAGTTGCACAGAATATTCCAGCCTCTGTTCCAATGCAGCCAACGAGCCAGGCTATTGATTTTGATCCTGCTCGTCCTATACCTACTCAAACATATACTAATCAAAGTTTTTCGTCAGCAATCCATCCAATGATGGCTGCTGCAGTGTCTCAGAACTATGTTCCCGTGACTCTGTCTCATGGAATTCCACCACAGCATGTTCTACCATCAAATATAGTTGTACAGCCTTTGCCTCCTAGAAGCACTGTGTCATCCATGGCGTCAAATCCTAATACTTTACCGATGACACCAACACACACTTCGGTGAGTGGACTTGCGTCAGCACTCTCTCAACAGGCGAACATCTATTCGCTTTGCCTAAAAATGAATGTGAGGATGATTTTTAGTTTTTTTTATTAAATAAGTTATTAAAAATAGCAGTAAAATTTTGTTATATAAACCAGTAATATAAATTCTAAAGTTTTAATGTGGATAAAAATTTTCAGTTTTCTCATATATATTGAAACATATATATATATATATATATATATATTATATATAATTAGTCATTTACCTCTTTGTGTTTAATTACTTAGCATATAATTCTGTGTGTAGAATTAGTCTTTGTAGATGAGTTGCTATTGTATTTATGTTAGTTTTCCTCCTCATTTTGTACACCTCGATCAATCTATGATTTCAGCTCTGTTAGTTTTGGTATCATTCCAGTTTAGAAGTTTGAATATTTTTTAATATCTTTATGTATATATATATATATATATTTCACATTCATTTATTTTGGTAATTTTTATGAAAGTAGTTGTAAGTTAGAGTAATTATATTTTTCAAAATAGTTTTTTTTAATTAATGAGCTAATCACATGCATTGCACAAATTTATTTTAGGCCAATTAAAGAACAAAAAATATGAAAGCAGTATATTTATTAAGCTTAAAATTACATAAATTTAAAAAATTGCTTCTGTTGTGATTAAGTTATTTCACTAATAAAAATGTTCTTTACTAAAGGTGACTCTCACTTATTGTGATATATAATATAAATTAGTGTTATTAGAAGATTATATTAGTAATTAGAAGATAATTTTCCTTTCAAGTAACTAAATGCTATGAAAAAAACACTTTATGAGAATAAAAGAAATAATAAGTGTAGAAAATATTGTTCCTCATCCCACTTCAGGCTTTAATGTGATAGATTACTAATTAAATCCATAAATTTGACTTCAGTTGAATTTCATGTATTAGTTTTAGATTTGTTTTTAATGATTTTTTTATCTGATATGTTAGGGAGTATCAAAACATTTTGACTTAAAATCTATATAGATTTATATTATAATATAAAAATATATTGAATACAATAAATAATCTTAAAAGATATATACAGAATATGTACCATTAAAAATTGTTTTAAAAGAATTTTGTGTTCAACATAAAAAAGAAACAAATTTTAGAGTTCACTTGACAGTTATTATCATAAAAATGCTGCATTTTGCAAATATGGCAAGATATCATTTAGGTTTTTGATTATTTATTTTTTGTTGTTATATTTAAATTTTCATACCCCCAAATTTTTCATTTGAAATAATGTTATCATTTTACTAAGGAGCTTCACTTAAGTTTGATTTAAATGTACAATTTTGTAATGGGAAAGAAAATTATGCTTTTTCTCTGAAGCATAGCAAGAAAATTCTGAGAATTGTGATATTTCCTCAGAATTATTTCTTTTTTATAAAGGGAAACCATTTATAGTAATGAGCCATTTTGGTGCTATATGTTGAATATATTGTAAGATTAAACTTAGGCAAAAGCAAACTTCTGTTTGTTGTATGTTTTAACTGTGACTCTATCAATGTCTAGGGCAACAGGTGTAGGTCCTTCATCATCAGGAGAAGGAAGGGAGATTTATTTATACCAGAAAAGCAAAATAGTAAAATGAGTAAGAAGGTAGCACTGTCCACAGAAATAGTAACAAAATGGGAAAAATTAATAGGAATTTAAGTGTTAGGAAGAGCTAGATTGGAACTAAAGTCATTAACTAAACAAGATAAATTATTGTGAAGTGAAAAGCTTCAATAAAACCCAATTCACCAAGTGAAGAAGTTTTGGATAATTTTTCAGATCCAAAGTTAATGATGTGATGTAATATCCAACTATGATGAACTTTTGAAGATTTGTGTATATCTTCTTTTTTGGACATGCGATACATGTTCCTTGATGCAAAGTTTTAATGCTGTTTTAGTTTGGCCCATTAATCTCAAACTATATAGACAAGATATGTTATAAATTCCCCTAGAATTAAAGCCAGAAGTGGAAACATCAAGAATCAATTGATTTTACTAATAATGAGAAAATGACCTTGAACTTCTGGAGAATTCATGAAATTTTATAACTGATAGAAGGATGAAATGGAAGAAGACAAGGTTATTAATGTTGTTTTAAGCAGCAGTATACTGTAAGATGGAAAGATAAAGTTTTTTAAAGGCTTTATGAATAACATGGCAGAAAATTGACTATCAGTGGCAACTGATTTCAAATAATTTAGCTCTTTTACAGTTTCTATTTTGCATTTTTCACCGACATTTTTATTCACTGTTACTTTCTGTCTGCTATTAAGCCTTGTATTTATTATGATTTTTATTAAAATTACAACTTGTTTAAAAAATTAAGCCTTGAAAAATAAAGGAATTGGAAGCTTTGCAAATTATTATGTTGTGAGATCGATAGTGGTCTTGTCTGTTATTGGATATAAATCACATCATCTGCTTTGACTGCTCTGATTGGCTTAGTAATTCAGAGCAACTTAGATACAAAATCTCCCTGCGTAGACGAAATGCTGTCAGGCAATATATCTATGATCGAGGCTTGTTCTGAGGTATTGTCTCCTTGTTTAGATGGAGGTTTAGTGACAACCTGACTGCAGTCTTCTGGGCAGTTATTCAACGATTCTTCTTTGCAAGGGAGTTCATTGTTGCAGTTGATTCCTTAGTTATGATTAAGTGTGTTTGATCTGATCATAGCATGTTAGATGTATTCATATATCCATAATTAAGATCAGTGTACCATTGGGAAACTGTACAAGTCTTCATTTGACTGTAAATATTGGTTCTGTTATGACCAAAAATTGGATTACCCAAGTGCTTAGCTAGGAAAATCAATATGGCATTACTCGTTATATGGCTTCTGCATCACACAGTGACTCACTGTCATTAACACTGCACACCTCTGGAAGTTCTACTGTATGGAATAATGCTGCTAGAACCACAGTCCCACTTTCATTTGGGTGACTTTTATATATGCAAAAGTGCTTGTTTGAAATACCTAATAAACTACAGTAGGCACCACTTAATGTGATCAGTTTTGTCCATGGGTATTTTAATAACATTAAACGATGAGAAAAATATCCTTCGAAAAAGTAATGGAATTTAACTAGTTTAATATAAAACCAGGGAGAAACATATAAATAAGTACTTTCACAAAATTTTAGCTAGGGAAATGCAAAAAATTTGTTTATGTTCTATTCATAATGTCTTTAATGTGATACTTCATTAGAATTTTGGAAATTGTTTGACTGACCTGTAATCTTAACCCTTTGCACTTAGGCCTTTTTCACTTGGACGAATCAGCAACTTAAGATGGTGTTCGCATATTAAATAAATTTCTTACAACTAATTTAAAGTTAATTCACACACAATTGCAAGAAATATAATAGTTCTTTTATGTCTGAAGATACTTGCAATCTTGTGGTTATTTTGCGGGATACAAATGGTATTCTCTACATCAGTGCTTAAATTGCACCTGAGCCCGGCTCCAGTACTTCTAAATTTTTAAGATAAATTACAATTCTAGCTGGAGAACACCGGAGCCCTAAATAAGATGAGCTCCGGTACTTCTTTTTATAAAATTGAACCACAATTTAAAGGGAAAAAAATTTAGAATTCCCAACGTTTTAGTTTAACAATAAGCAGACTTTGCAATACTCTGTTTCCCTAGAAATACAAACTCATGAGAACATGAGACGTTCAAGTAAAGTCCCCTCACTCACATGAGGAACACTTTCCCTTTAAGGAAAGTAATAAATTTGGGTGAGTTTGTTTAGGAACGCCTAAATTTCTCACCATGCCATTGTATCTAGCGTATTGTTATCGATGCTTACAGTTAGTTATCCTGGCAGGAAGGAAAGTTTGTGTTCTGAAATGTGTGTTAAGTGACAGCGAATACAATAAGAGTGATAAACTGAGATAAAACTGCTCAAACACGTCCTATAACATCGTCCTCCCACAGTATCCACTAATGGGGGGGGGAAGCGTAATCAGCAACTTTACATTTAGGAGTTCGATTCAAGACTCATTTACCCTTGACACCCATCTGCTTGATGGCTATAATTATATCAACAGAGAGCCGCGGTCAAAAAGAACGTTCTCTCACACCAAGATTCCCCTCATTTTTTGTTTCCACCCGTTCATACCCTCATTCTGTTTCGCCCTGAAATTTTTATCAGCTGTAAGTATATTTAATTTTTGTGATGATAAAAGAAGTTCTCCCCCCCCTACGATCAGAGCTTAAATTGGGCTGGAGCCCACCGGATCTCGGCTCCAGTGCTTCTTAGTTTTTGTAATAAATTATAATTCTAGTTGGAACGCACCGGAGCCCTGAATAAGAAGGCTGCGGCACTTCTTTTATATAACTGAATAACAATTTCAGTAGAAATTTTATTTCGAAAATTTTATTTTAACAATAAAATTATATTAAAAATTGCTTATTAAATTTCAATTTATCTCTTTACATTTTATTTAATTTTAACTATTTATTTACTTCAATCTTTAATTATTTCAATAAATAATAATTAATTATCTAATAATTATTGATTAAATAACAATTTATAATCATTATTAATTTGATAATAATTAACTATTTAATTTTAAAATTATTAATGAGTTTAATAGTCATTTTATTTATTTATTTACTCTTGTTCCTCTTTGCTGACTGTCTTCCATAGGGCTCCGGCTCTTCTAATCTTAGAAATTAAGCCCTGCTCTACATTATTTCTTCAATTTCTGTGCACATTATCCATTCTGAATGTTCTTTCTTTTCTGCTGAATCGTTGCTTTCATTTTCACTATTCTATTACATCGAAATTTCGCCTTCTTACACCTTTTACTTCATTGCTATCTTCATCACTGCTTTCCTTCTCTCTCTCGTCAAGTAGTCTATTCATATATGTAATTTTATTCTTCATCAGCGAAAAATAGAATTCATTTTCACTTAAAGTGATTTCTTCATCATATTCCATGCTTATTGAGCTCCGTAACTTTGAAAATACTTTTCCTGTTACCTTGAATGTCGAGTTTGAACTAATGTTGAAGACGCATATAACAATAAATCTGAAAAACCTATTTAAGATTGGCAGTTATTTTATACTTATGTATTGTTGAATACAGTCATGAAGTGATATCGCTCAAACCAAACCTAAATAAATATCATTACCACCCAAATTATCGCATTAAATCTAGTGGTGATCGAGAATCACCTCTCAAGTTATCGCATCAAATTAAGTGGTGACCGAGAATCACCTCTTGAGTCAGGTCTCACCACCTGAGTGCAAAGGGTTAATACTTGGAGGGCATCACCCATTTATAGGAAGAGAATGTGCCAATGTAGGCAAATTAAATTAAAATGGTCAAAAATACTACTTTAGCTTGGCATTGATGTTTTGAGGCAATTTTTTTAAAGAGGAGGGGGGGGGGAATTCTGCAAATTATTTTTGCTCCTGGAGAAGATGGATCTATTTGTTATCATCCACAAAATCGATAGAGTTATTCAAAATCTAAGCCAAACTGAGGTTGCCTTTTTTTTAAATTTTAAATCGTTGACTAAAATCGGAACCAAGCTGTTTGGTGACATAACCGCTTACTTGGCAAATTAGTTCTGACACTTAACAATTTAATTATTATAATCCGGTTTGACCTTATTTGGTAACTTTACTTCAGTAAAATGTTTTTTCGATATTATTTTGATAATATTAACCAAATTGTTGATCACAATAAGTGATGTATTTTCCATGTTCGAATGTACAAATGGGCAGGAATTCAGCAATTTGATAACAATATCTGAATAACATTAACTTTGATCACATTCAATGATGTTTACTACACTGGATCTAAATTTTGATGCTTAAAAATTAACAGACTTTTACAAAGAGATATTTGTTTGAAGTATAAAATTTGAATGATTGTTTATTTTGATACAGTTACTAACTTCAGGATTCTTACAGCTTGAAAGTATAGCAAGCACAAGTGCATAGTTGCTATTTATCATTTTGTACATTTTGTATGTCATTAATAAATAAGTACACAAAACTTAAAAAAATTAATTTGTTCCCCCTTGCTAATTCCTTTCAATAAGGTAGGGGATGTTGTGAGGATTTAAATTCCTAATGCAGTGCATTGTTACTATTCTATATTATTCAGCAATAAATTTGCTAGCATATATTTTTGAGACATCTTGGAATATCTCCTTGAGCACATCTTCTTGGTTACTTAGTACTACATCGCAGTATATTCCCAGAACATCCTCAAAAAAATTTGGGGGGGGGATTGTTAGAAAAGCTGATAATAAATATTATCAGAATACTTGACAACAGAGTTAAACAAGATATCCTTGGGATGGTAAATAATGAAATTCTCAGAACATCTGAGAATCAAGATACTCAGGATATCCTCAATATATCCCAAGATGGTGTGCACTTAAACAGGGTGTCCATGTGTATTTTGAATTATGAAGAAAGTTTTCTGAAATGTAAAATTAGTGTTTCAGTAATTTATATTGTATTAAATATGCTTAATATTTCCTTAGTAATATTAATGCTCCAAATATTAGGGGGATGTCCATAAATATCCATTCAGTAAATACCAAACACATTTATGTATTGTTGTATTATTATACTGCTGTTTACAAAACATAGTCAATAACCTTAAAATCCAAAAGGGCCAACATAGACTTTAATCCTATCCTGCACTATTTAATTGCCAACTTAAAAAATTTGTTTTTTGTAAGTTAAGGTTCTTTTGGAAGTGCAAATACTGTATTATGTATAAATTTAGTATATTTAGAGTTATTGCATGTTTACAGCAAGTTTATATTAAACAGCTAATTTTTATAATCACTTTCACAGCAACTTAATACAGAAATCGCTCAACCTGCTTGTGCACCTGCTTCCCAATATGAATGTAATGAAATTCAGGAAAGTAAGTTTATATTTAAAAATAAATTTGCTAGAGTGTTTTGAAAATAATCTGTGATTTAGTCAGTGTGTGGTAAAACCTTTGTGTATTACAAATAGAATATCTTAATATTTATAAAAGCATTATTGCTTTATGTTTTACTTTATATTCTTTAGACTGTCATACGTTGAATACAATAATTTTGATGGAATTGCATTAGAAACCTTGCTTTGAAATTATCAGAATCAAAAGCTGGTGTCACATGAAACAGAATAGGCAACTTTTTGTAGAAGTGAATCCTTCCCCTTCCAAAAAAAATTTATAGTCTCGAATTTTTTATGATAATTGTGAGAAGTTTCTTTTGATGCTGTGTTTTATGCAGATCAACGAATCTAAAGGAAGGAAGGATGAATCCCAGAGCCATGTTTGTTCTTGGAAGCAGATATTCCTTGAAAAACTGCATTCAATGAGACATTGAGGAACTGTTATTCAGTTTGATAGCTGTTTATTGAATTATCTGTTTATAAGTCCATTGTGGGTAATGTAGATGGTTTTCCTCCTGATCTTTCGAGCAGTTTTGCAAGAGTAATTAGTAAAATAACAAGTGGAAAAACATGATGGATTTTAGATCAATAAAGTAACATAAAAATCCCTGTGTTCGTCATTCTTCATTATCTGCATTGTTTGTTTAAAAAGTAACTGCTCTTTATTGCCATGTGTTGAATGAAGTGAAATTTGAAAGTAGTAGTTAATAATTTTATTGTATCAAATGGGTGAAAAATGTGCACAACAAAGCAAGAAAAAATTTTGAGTCAAGTTCAACTTGTTGAGAAAAGTCAACATTAAATTATAACTCCATATTATGATATTTAGTTTTGTGTACTGAAGTTTGGGTAATTAAATTGTGTTTTGTATAATCGTAAATACTTTTTGAAAAATAAAATACTGAACCCTGATTGTGTTATATAGGAAAATAATTGTTGCAAGCTACCGGTTCATGGATGCCTCTCTAAGTAACTATTCTTGATAAAACTGGAAGAAATTGATAATTTGTTGTAAATAATAGTGACATGTAGCAAAATAAATAACTGTAAATAAATCAAGGAAAGCACAGATAATAGGCATATTCTCTTCATCCAAGCAATATCTGTAAATTCCCAATGCCACTTACAGAATAAATTCTAAATCATAATTCAGCTGATTGATTGATCTGAAATTCAGATTAACAACTGACTCATTCTAGCTATTGGAACCATATTTATAAGGTGTATGGGATTTCAGAAGTTTGAAAAATCACTCTGAGAGCTTTACAAATTTCTTTTTCATAGATTTTTTGAAAGTTACTAAATTGATAAAAAGGATCACCAAGTCCTGTCAAAAATATTTTTACCGATATGTTGTATTTTAGATAAATTATTTTACCTAAACATTGTTAGATAAAGATCTGCAATTCTGTACAAGCAATTATCACTCATATAAGAAACATGTGGGTACAATTACAGTTATGCACAAAATAAATTCTATAATTATTACCATAAATGAAAAAAAAAATAGTATGAGTAATTAAAACAATACATTACAACAATATACAAAAACAGGAATGCAGTGAAAAAGAGGCAAATATTTATAGAAATTTACAACACTAATATTTTTTGCTTGTAGCTAGTGCTTGAGCCTTAAACTGTGTCCAGTTACCATAGGGAAATGCAATTCTGAGAAATTCTGCTGCCATATATTCTGCTATATTTAATCCAATTTTGGCAACATTTTGATTGTTATTATTGGATTATTATTGTATGTTAATACTGCATGTATACACTGAAGTGACAAAAGTCATGGGCTACCTCCTAATATTTTGTCAGTCCTCCTTTTGCCCAGCGAAGTGCAGCAACTCGACGTGGCATGGACTCAACAAGTCGTTGGAAGTCCCCTGAAGGAATATTGAGCCATGCTGCCTCTATAGACTCCCATAATTGTGAACGTGTTGACGGTGCAGGGTTTAGGGCACGAACTGACCTCTCGATGATGTCCCATAAATGTTCGATGGGATTCATGTCGGGCGATTTAGGTGGCCAGATCATTTGCTGGAATTGTCCAGAATGTTCTTCTAACCAATCGTGAACAATTGTTGCCCGGTGACATGGCGCATTGTCATCCATAAAAATCCCATCGTTGTTTGAGTACGTGAAGTCCATGAATGGCTGTAAGTGATCTCCAAGTAGCTGAAGGTATCCATTTCCAGTCAATGATTGGTTCAGTTGCACCAGAGGACCAAGTCCATACCATGTAAAAACAGCCCAGACCATTATGGAACCACCACCAGCTTGAACAGTGCCTTGTTGACAACTTGGTTCCATGGCTTTGTGAGGTCTGCGCCACACTCGAACCCTATCATCAGCTCTTACAAACTGAGATCGTGACTCATCTGACCAAGCCACGGTTTTCCATTCGTTTAGGGACCAACCGATATGCTCACGAGCCTATGAGAGTCGTTGCAGGCGATGTCGTGCTGTTAGTAAAGGCACTCGAGTCGGCCTTCTGCTGGCATAGCCCAAGTAAGACAAATTTCGCTGCACTGCCCTATCGGACATGTCCCTCGTACGTCCCACATTGATTTCTGTGGTTATTTGACGCAGTGTTGCTTGTCTGTGAACATTGACAACTCTATGCAGACGTCGCTGGTCTCGGTCAGTAAATGCAGGTGGTCGGCCACTGCGCTGTCCATGATGGGATGTTTATGCCTGAAATTAGATACTCTCGGCACACTCTTGACACTGTGGATCTCGGAATGTTGAATTCCCTAACGATATCCGAAATGGAATGACCCATGCGTCTAGCTCCAACTACCATTCCGCGTTCAAAGTCTGTTAATTCTCGTCGTGCGGCCATAATCACGTCAAAGCCTCTTCACATGAATCTTGAACACAAATGAAAGCCCTGCCAAAGCACTTTGCATTTATACATTTTCTACGCGATACTACTGCCATCTGTATATTTGCATATTGCTATCCCATGACTTTTGTCACTTCAGTATATATATAATTGTTTGAAGCAGAATTATTTTTTAGTAAACTTGAAATATTTAAAAACTTTAAATTTATTTCAGTGCATATTTAAAATGTTAAAAAAATTAAATTTTTAAATTAAAAAATAGGAGAAATTGAATAGAAAATTGAATTTATTTTTTTTAAATGTATATATTTCATGTAAAGCAGAAAAAATTGTTTTGTGGTTTGCACAGAAAATTATTTTAAAATATATGCTTAGAGAGGCAAGTTGCAGAATTATTAAATGTAAAAATCTAAAACTTGTATGTATATATGTAAAGCAAAAAATCTGTAAATCTAAATATTAACTGTAATTTTGCAACATTTTCTTGGCTCTCCATTTTAATATTGGTATTTTCCCCTTCCCATCCATGCGTGTCATCAAAGGTGGCTAAAATGGGTACCCAGCATCAGGAGGGTATAGCCTGACATATCCCTGGGGATTATATCAGTGAACTGTTCCTGTAGGTTGGGCATGGGCCTTGGCCTGGCTGGAGTACAACTGAAGAAGAAAAATAATTTCTTCCTTACATCCTTAAAATAATAACTCCTGATAATAAATCATTCTAAACTACATCTGCCTCTGTCTTGTCAACTCGTCTGCTACCTGTTGCTTTTTCCTGCTTTTAAAGTAATTGTTATAAAGATGTAGAAAGGTTCAGATGAGTCCAAGATTGGGTTTATTGATTGGGCACGTTTGCACTGTGAAGTTAAGAATGTGCTTTTCAAGAAATGCACTAGTCTCCATCATTCCATAATTATGGGTTTCCACTGTGTCATCAAATTCTAAATTATTACATGCATACACATAAATTATTATACACACACGTAAGGATACATACCACATACAAGTTAGAACATCATCAGAATTCACATATCAGAAATGCTGTCTGTTTCTAAGCATTGACAAACAGTTATGAATTTTAAGTCGTCTTAACGCTTTGTATATCTGACACAAATCTTCGAGATATGTGTGTTTTGCATAAAGAATCAGTTTATTAATGTTACTAAAATGGTCGACTAGATTTGTTACTCTTTTATGTTTGTTTATAAAAGAATATTCATGTTTTGTGTAGCTGTAAGGAAAAATTATTGTTTAATCATGATCTAAAATCTTAAAGGTCGTTTGATGCTGAAAAGCCAAAATTTAATTCCTATATTTAATGTATTCTTCTTCTACAAACGTAATAACTTATATTATTTCTAAGGATGTATCAAATTTTCTTGCATTGTTACTGTGTCCATGCTGTCAAGTTAATATATCAATACTTAGTTTAGAATTTTTTATTTTGTTTCGATATGGAGTTATAATTTGGGAATTTATAGGTAATATAGTAAAAAATGCAAGTGCCACATTTGGTAACTGTCGTGATACTCGGAGTGGTGCTAGGGAAACTCGATCAAGAAGTGATAGTAACGAATATTCAAGAAACTCTAACCAAGTTGGATATGGAAGTGATAGAGGTAAATTTAAAATTTTTACTTATATCTGTCAAAAAGCTACAAATACCTTACAAATCAGTCTTTAACATTAATTACTAAAATTTCATGTATTATATATTTCTGAAATATAAAGATTTATTTGTAGTACTAATAAAAATTATAATATTTTGAAACTTTTTGTCTTCTTGTATATGCCACTTAAATTTTTGAGAACTGTAGCTGAGAAAAAAATTGTGGCTCCTTTACATCTACTTTTATTGTCTTATGTAATCTATTAGTTTTTCTTCTCTTTTTGATTTGTGCAATAGCTATTGCAAGTTTCTTTACATAAAGTGCAATACAGGGCTGGTGTTAAATGTAATGTTACTTGGCACAGTCTCAACAGCTGTTAAATTCTACTGTTATCTCCATTAATGTAAAATTTTGCATCCTCATATAACTTTACCAGCTTTGGCACCAGCTCTGAACATGTGAAATATGACATATTGACTTTTCATCATTACTAAATATACTGACATACAGGTATATTTAAAATAAGAATGTATAAAAAAGTTTGTTCCTCAGATATTTTAATGTGATGATTCAAGTAACTGCTCAGCAGTATTGGAATGATAATAATAATTTTAATAATCAGTATCTTCATCGGGAAAAACTGACTTCTGTTACAAAATACTATTTCCGCAATAGAAAAATGCTCTCAACTTTTAAGCAAGCAAAGCCTTCCTGAAGCTTTCTTGACAAGTAATGACTGCACTTAAGGATAATGCACATTCTCCTTTTTGACATTTTATAACACCAATTAAGAAATGCTTATACTCCTTTTTATTTACCATTGGCCTGCAACAAAGTCAAAGAAAAAACCTCCATAGTAGCCTTCCGTTTAGGCCTACTATGAAGAGGCAGATGGGGCATTAAGTAATACTGCAATTGCACATGTCCCTATAAGCAATCCAACTGCATCATGTGAGAAATATACAGGGTAGTCATAAAAAAAAACTTCTTTGATGTATCTGTGGCCTATCTGTTCAACTAATTAAAATGGAATTTTGAGTTATTGTTATTTGAATATTATGTGCTTGAGATTGGAATGATTTAAAACAATAGAGCTCTCACAGTTATGGCTACAGTGAAAAAAATTGAACATTTTTTAATGGCAGCGTGTTTTTTTCCTGCATAAATTGATCAATTTATTGAAAAATCATAAATCATAATGGCAGTGATATACTTGTGCCAAAAATTGCCAGCATATAATATTTGCAAAGAGCACTCACTGTAAAGGGCCCATGATAATATAAGAGAGGAGAGGGTGGGGTTTGTATTAGAATTAAAAGTTTTCAACGTGCCCACATTCTCAAACTATAATACATTGCATGCAGGAGATTGTCGACAACAATGACGAGTGTCACGTCACAAGAGGAATCTTTATAAGTCCACGTTTTTATGGCATCTTTCAGTTCTGACAGGATTATATGGCAAAATTTCTGTGCAGAAATTTTGCCATAGTTTCTTCCATTGCTTGGAAATTCCACTAGCTCATACATTATAATTAAGTTAAAGACAAAACATTTTATGATTTCTTTAAAAAGTCATTGTAAATCATTTGAGTAAAAACCAGACGTATGAAAATGGCAACCTTACTTGACTGAAGTATTGTTATGAGTATGGTTGACTGAAAAATGGTTATGTGCATGGTTGCCAAAGTTTGGCATATTCTAAAAATTTGGAAGGTAGTTGTGATTAAGGTAACATGTAAGTACCCAGGGAAACATTTCAATATTCATGTGCATAAATATGCACTGTAATTACAAACTAGTGGCTCCAAAGCAGTTTTGCATGGCTTACAAATTTGTTTCTCTTTCAATTAAATAGCATTATTCAGATAAATTATTATGACAAAAGCTTGATGAACATGTTAAAGATTTTAATGATTTGGAGTCTAGTTATACATAATTTTCATTACCATTAAAAACAGATGTGACTAACTTTCCAGAAAATCTACAAATGGAACTAATTAATTTATACTGTGATATAAATCTACAAAAATTTAAAGATGCAGGTTTGATCAAGTTTTATTTGGATAGAATTTTCACTTTGCTGGAGAGTACATTTATATGTAAACAGATTTTTCCACACTTGAAAATTAATAAGAAAAGAAACAGATTGACTCATCTGTCAAAATCCACAATCCCTGATGAATATAATTTCTAGGTTTTCTTTTGCCCCTAGGTTGCAAACATATGAATATCAAAATGCTTTCAGGTGTCATAGCTGAAAGTTTTTATAAGACACGGTAAAGTTTATAATTACACTCAAACCTGTTTTTGTCCGATCTTTTTTTGTGTAATTTTTTTGTGCAGTATATGAAAATTTTAATCAAATTGGAACACAATTAAAGAAGTTATCAATTTGTTTGAGTGTATGTACAAACATATATCTTTGTTATACATGCCAGGGGAAAAATAAAGGAAATGCTCTGTGATTTTTATTCTCAAGTTTAGTTTCACTTAAAAATATTTCTTAATTTGTTTATTTTTAGTTTAAGTGGTTGAATATGAATCTACATGCAATTTGAATTTGAGACCATTGAGCTACTTAGACGGACTTGCCTTGTCCTATGGAACTGCCTGTAAATTAGGTCTGCTAGCATTCTGATAAACCTCATCATATACTTCCAAAATTATAATTAGATTATGACAACTAATAAAAATAACCATTTAATCAAGGCTGCTGTATTTTGGGACCTAACGTAGTCTCGGATATCTGTTGCTTTGGTCTTTTGAGGACAGTTGAGCTCTTAGTGCCTTACTCATGTCATAACACTACTCACGGAAAGCTTGTAAACAGGAATGGCAAAAGATTTTGCTTCTAGTAATGTGTTGAAGTCTACAGTGGGGTTTGTAATGCTGACTTTCATCGAGCAAACAGGATATTGAGGCCAACAGATTGGGACACCAAGATTTTTAAGTATTCAGATGTGGTAACATGATCATCTTGACCTTTTATTATTGTTTGTAAGAGTAAGTGAGGATTGGAATCAAAATCAGGAATTAAAAATGAGAATTTATGAGAATGTGATAGGTTTTGCAAAATCTAATTTATTAAGTTAAAAAATTAAAAGATTCCTTCATAACATGATACATAATAGATATTTATTAGCTTTGGTATGTAGTGGAGGATTTGTGTTATTTTTAATTCACAGATTTACTTTAAACTTTAGTAAGCAAATAAAAATTAATATTGAAATAATATTTTTAATGCAGATTTGTTTACTGCATGAGAACTTGTATATTTTTCATTGCTGGAAAAGCAAATATATTAAATAATTTGTATTGGCAAGATCTTTACTAAATTGAAAAAAAATGATATTTTAGCTGCATACCAAAGTACAAACAATAGTCAAGCTTATATGAATAGGGAAAATTTTTCTGATACTTCAAGCTACAGTAGCAATTTGAAGAGAGGATTAAATTCTAGGGGAGGTATGTTATTTTCATTTATACCTTTATAAGCATAAATGTATGTACATTTAAGGGTATTTTGGAATATGCTACTTTTGTGATTGTTTATTGATTTTTTAAGTGTAAATCCTTAATATTTATATTTAAAATTTTCTTCATTAAATGAATATACAGGGTGTTTATAAAGTCCCGGACCCATGGCATTTATTGATAGAATAACTTATATATTTTCCTTTTCAGGTTTGAATATCTTTACTTTTTGTAAATATCGCCTGTGCGTGTGGTTAATTTCAGATAATTTCATTTTCCATTCTAAATATCTGTACTTTTCTAAATATCGTCTGCTTATTAATTGCATTTTTCTCTCTTTTGTTTGTGGCAACTATTGCAATGTTATGGACTTTTTCCTTTGGGGATTTGTAAAGGACAATGTTTACAGGAGGAGAGTGTCAAACATTGATGACCTAAAAGGCAGAATTACAACTGCAATAGCCTCTGTGGATGCCGACATGCTTGCCGGTACCTGGTGTGAAATTGAATATCGACTTAATATTCTCCGTGCGACGAAGGGGGCACGCATGGAAGTTCATTGACAAGGGTCATGAAACTTGTTGAGTCTATCTAACCATTTATGTTATTAATTTTAATCTATCTTTATTATTTTATGAGTAATTAAACATCAAAATGGGTCTGTGACTTTATAAACACCCTGTAGTAAAAGTCTTGCTTAATTTAACAATTTTGCAAAATGTTAGAGTATAGTAAGTTTTTTATAAGAACAAATTGTTATTTGGTAATATGGTATGTACTTTATAATATATTCTTGCATTTGTAATCATCGTTGCTTTGTTGTTAGTGAAATTTTCTCGTTAAAATGTCATACAACTGAATAAATTTCGAAACTGAAATGTTATGAAATTTTTTTGAGATGGCTCACAAAGTACTATATTAATAAGTTTTTACAGTTTGTGCCAAGGTGCACAATGTTAGCAGTAGAAACACCTTCTATTAATTACAGTAATTGTGCAAATGTTTTTAAATTATTGTAGAGACCACTAAGATTTTCAAAGCCAAGAAACATGAAAAGTAACTGTACCTTTGCCAGAATTTGAACCACTGCTATGGTAATATGTTAAAAATCATGTGAATTAGTCTCTTGTAAATTACATCAATCACAAATGTTAAAAAGTAAAATAGATAAAAAGTATTAAAAAATAGACATGTTGCTCTTAAATAGCTCAGATAGTATGTCATGTTGATTGACAATAAACACATCTGTAAATTGTCAATTTGCCATGCGGTATGAGTCATACATTAAAAGAGTTATGTGTTCTGGAATATTAAACACTTCAGTAGCGTAATGTGACGGAAAATAGAATGATTAAGTTATAGATATTTTTAACATCATTAACTTCTATTTTTTAAATGCAGGTATACTTGGCTAATGGCATGGTGTTTCATTTAAATTATTTTTTTAATTAGAAGATACATAGGTAAAATATGCTAATTAAATAAAATATCCAATTTTAGGTGCAAGAGGCAGTAATGCAGCAAGAGGAACAAGTAACAACCGCAGCAGCAGAGGCGGATATAGAAATTAGTGGACATTTGTGATTAACTTTATTATACTTTTTCTGCTTATTTTTCTCTCAAATCTGGGAACTACTGAAGTGTGGATGGGTGTATTTAGAATCAAGTTGTGCACTGTGCAACTCTATTGATTGTCATGATATATGCAGGTTGTTATATTGTGGTGCTTCCAAAAATTAATTATACTTACGTTCAAGTCAAGCTATATTTCTGTTTATTCTTTGAATTTTATTAATTTTTCTTTCTAAAAATAATAAATTGTGCATTTTTTTACCTTTTTTATTGCCTTTTCCCCCCTTTTCATCTAAAGTACGAAGCAGTACATGCACATATATAGTATTACTTCTGTTGGCATAAAGCTTGGGACCATTTTATGTTCCAGAGATGGTGATGTGTCATTATTTTTATTAAATGTTACAGTTAAAGGCAAAAATATTGCCAGCATTTCTATCATTTCAAAAATGTTTTTATGATATATATCATTTCATTAATTGCAAATTGTATTCATTGGATTTATGTGTCTTTAAAATTTAATATGTATAAATTAAATATAATTTCAAAAGAATTTGATGAGTACTTCTTGTGAACTTCATTTTAAATAACTTTTAAATTTGTATGTATAAGCAATAATTGATGATAAAATTACACAATTTGAAGGACAAATTTTCATTGTTCTTGCCTGCTGTTGATATTTTCACATGTAATTAAGTAGGTTAAATACGTATTTCAAATTCCGAAATCTGTAAACACATATTGCTTTATCTCCCCCTGTGTCAGAGTCACATACAACTTGCATGGATTAATTTTGAAGTATTGAGAACAAATATAAAATGTATTTTTACCTAATTAATCACTGAATACTTTATTTTCTGAAATAATCATATAATAGTTGTATTCGTAGCTCATGGATTATAATTCAAATGTTTGCTTAACATATCTCTCTCTAGTTAAATTTATTCTGTAGAAATTGCTCCTTACAGCAGTCATGAGAAATTATTTGAAGTTTACAATAATTGCATTTGTCCATTATGATTACAAAGTGAGTAGTTCCTTGTAAAGAAATACTTTAAAGTGAAAGCCTGTGTAGGATTTAAAATGTGTAGTATGTAAAAGCATCATATACTGTATTGTATGCAAATGGATCATACTTTTCCAACTGATTTAAGGCAATAAATCATATTTTCAATTTAACAATTTTCTTGTACGTTTCTGCTATATACATGAAATCACATCATTTGCTAGGTTTTTTTTCCTGGAATTTAGTAGTAACAGTTAGGGTGGTGATATACAATTATTACGTATTGAACCTATTAAAGTAGAACTTCACGTATCTGAATGATTGGTGCTTAGCCATGTAGGATAAATTTTTTTTTAAATATCAATGATCAGTATGGTTAGTGTATATATATATATATATATATATATATATATATATATATGCTCACATGCATGTATGCATATTATATATTATATATGCACACATGCATGTATGCAGGTTGATTGAAAAATCAGATACCTGAAATCTATAAAATGATTTTTTCTGGAAATTAGAACAAAAGAGAGAAGTCACTATCTGTTTTTGATATTGGACTGTATTATAGGAAAACTATAAGCATTATTATTCTGATGTTAAGTTGACTCTGAAAAAGAGTTTACTGAAAGAACTAGGCTAAACTTCGTAACAACAAGTACTGTTACATACAGTGGGTATCAGAAATAAAATGATTTTAAAACTCTGTAATTAAAATAGGGTTCATATAGTTCTTAAGAGTCCTTAAAAGTCCTTAGGGTTTTTTGGAATCTCCTTAATTTCGGCAGAAATTGGTAGAAGGTCCTTAATTTTAATCATCTGAAATTTGTCTGTTTTTACGACTACCATTTTGAGTGTGAATTAGCATTTTGGAGGAATATTTTTGGCGATTCACTGACATATATGGTTATCTTTTGAATGCATTTATGGGATATAATTTGTTCTTGTTTCAAATATGTGGTGGAATACTTGAATTTCGAAGCAAGAAATGAAACATAACCATTTCAAAATTATTTAATTTTTTCTAATGAAGAGCTTAAACAGTTTTTCACTTTTGGGGATGTGTATTCTTTTATTATGCAGTTTTAAATATGCTGACTTATCAGCATTTTGACGATTTTAAGATCAGAAGTGTAACATTGAGAAACTTCATTAAAATAACTGTAATACAGTACAAAGTCCGTATCTGGACTCGTCGGGACTTCGGCGATTCCAGATTAGGGGTTTTCCCAGATTATAGATCATCAACTTAAATCTGGTAAGAGGACATGCAGAAATTATACAATTAAAAAAATGAAACCATAATTCATGAAATAAAGAGCAATTATGATCTAAAGGGTATCAAAATTTCCAAAAAAAGCTTAATATTTATTTGTTTACTTTATTAAACATTTCTTTCAATGTAAGTTGTTTAAGTTGCGTCGTTTTTTTTTTTGTGCTAATACTTTCTCTTTAATTCTATAAACAGACATAATTTCTTGTTTCAGTTACAAAGGTTCCACTGTTCAAGTCCTGTAATTGCTGTGTGAGAATAACCGACTAACTTGTTCAATTGAAATTTCTTTCGTTTTCAATTAACCTTCTCTGTCACTTTCGTCACTATCGGAAGTGGTTATTTTCTGGAATCTAAGAACCATACTACAGATTTCGCCATGTCCAGTTAATTGATTGATGATTGGGGGGCATTGTCGTTGCAATGAAAAACTTCGTTATATCATCTTCATTTATTACCGCTTCTCCAAATTTCTTTACAAAATCCAATAACTGGAAAATTTCACCTTTAATTTGCGATGTCCAAAAACTTTCAAATTCGCGGCTTTCATCCTCACCATGAAATATGGTAGCTTGCCATAAATTATGCCAAGCATTTTTTAACATATATGGAGGCACATCCTCCCACGATCTTGCGATGTTCCACACAGCAGATTTTATGCTAAAAAATTTCAAGTCTTGAATAGTCTTGCCATTGTTCAAGAAATTTAACATAGATTTTAAAAATGCTACTTTATATTTGCATTTCAGCGCATGCACTATTCCATATCCATAGGCTGAATGATATAAGTACAATTTGGAGGGAAGAATAATATGGATACATTACCTTTCACTAAAACTTTAAGTATGTGCCAAACAGTTGTCGACAATCAGGACTATTTTTGAGTCATCAGGTAAACCAACTGAATTCAAACGTCGCCGAGCGTCAGGTATAAAATGATTTTCAAACCAATCATTCATCAACGCTTGTGTCATCCATGCTCTTTTATTTGCGTGTTATATAGCGGGCAAAATCATTACTCCTTTAAATGCTCGAGGTCGTGCATGTTTTCTAATTACAAAAAGTTTGCACTTGTGCATTCCTGCAGCATTTGCGCACGCTAAAATTGTTAGTCTCGCTTTGGAATCTTTGACACCAGTTGGAGCCTTTTCTCTAGAGGTTGCCAAGGTATTTTGTGGTACATATTGCCAGAAAAGACCAGTTTCATCAGCATTGTAAATTTGTTCTGAAGATAATTGTTCACTAGTAATGAGTTCAACGAATTCATCTACAAATTGTTCAGCCTTCAGTGTTAGCTGAAGCATTTTCACCTGAAATTTTTGTCTTATACCATGGCAATTTTTAAATTTGCTTAACCAACCTGTCGAATACGTGCACTCAGTGTTTAAGTCAATTTCTTCATGAAATATTTTGGCTTGAGCCATTAGCATTGGACCCGCCAATGGCACGTCCTCGCTGCAACGCTATCTGACCCATTCAATCATCACTTTGTAATATTTGTCATATTTAGCATAACAAACCCTCTTTTTGTTATTCATTACAAGTGGGGTGTCGGAATTCACAAAAAATTCCTTTTTCTTTCTGCTTATGTCACATACTTTCCAATGTCATACTACTTGCATAATTCTGAGATAGATATGCCTTTATCCTTTATCCCTTTTTTGCAGGAATTCCACTTTTTTTTTTAATGGACATCGAAACACGGTTTCTCTTTGTACATCCTTTGGCAGCTCTGGAATTTGAAACTCTTTTTGACATAATCAAAAGTTAAAGCTGAATTTTTACAAAATTGCCTCTAACAGTCTGTCAAAAATAATAAGCTGGATCCAATAAAAAAGATTAAGGAACAACAGAATCTGCAACATTAACTACAATGTCTTGGAATCAGTAAAGATAATTTTAGCCTAGCTTATATCATCAGTTATACATAAAATTCATTACGTGAATGCGTAAAGCATAAAAAAAAAGTGTGTGTGGCTTTGAGGTCTGGATTATAGATCATTTCGGATAATGGACGTCCGGATTACGGACTTTGTACTGTATTCTGAAATTATATTTAAAAATTAACATTAAAATTAAGCATTTTTTTATTTTTCACTGTCATATTATTAAGTTCTGTTTTGGCAACATATTACTGTACAAAGTCCGAGATCCGGAATGATCTAAAATCCGGACCTCAAAGCCACCAACAGCCTTTTGTTTATTTTGTATGCTTTATGCATACGCACTTGATTTTTTTCCTCCCACAATGAAACATAAGGAGAGTTCCGATTCTTAATTTCACTTCAGCATTAAATAAAATGCCTCGTTATTGATGAAACAATTATTATAGCATAAATTTGTGTGATCAATAATTTGGCTCTGTAGTTGCGTATTTGCTTGGCATACATCTCAAACTGAAACATTCTACGTAGAAACATCGCTGATTTTACATTACTAATATTTTATATTCCTGATGCCAACTGGTAAATCATTATTTGTTATATTTTGCTTCCATCAGCGCATGTTTATCCGTATATAAAAACTTGAGTAATGACTCATGCAGTGATGCCTAAACAATTTTTTTTATATTAGTAATTGAATAACAAAGAGTATGGTAACCTTTTATGTTGACATTATACTTGGCAGTGATTAAAGTTAAATGCTCTAAGAAATGTTGACGTGGAAAATTAAAAAAAAATTTCTTCCTATATGCTAAAAATAGATTTTATTTACGATACTCATAAACCAAAAGATTACATTTAGTGCTGTTTGAATTTAGAATAACTGATTTATTTTCAGATAAACCTAGAACCAGCGCCAGAGTTCGTATCGTCAAATTTAAGGAAGACAAAATTTTTGGAATTTAGAGAAGCACCGAGCAACAAAATTAAAAAGTGAAAATATTTTTAGAATTTAGGGAAAGCACTGGAACCCGAAATATAGAGGCAGCAAAAATTTAGAACTTAGTAGCAGAATTTAGAACTCGTAGAGACTGCATCAGGTTGTAGAATATCTGGCGCCGGCCCTCAATAAGCCTTATGTATATGTGGAAATATATTTATTCGGGACTCGAATAAGCCTTAAGCATGTGCAAGAAATAGACGTAAGTATAATAAAAAAACTAAACTAATGCAGTGCAAGCTTAATTGTTTGAGTGCGTGATGGAAGCGGAACAACTTGTCTTCTGTCGCCAATCTCATTATTACATAGCCAATAATGTATAGCTAGGCTAAAATTATACTTAACTGATTCCAAGGAATTTCAGTTAATATAGAGGATTGATTTAAGTTAATATAGAGGATATTGTTTCGTAGCTTTCTGAATTGATCCAGCTCATAATTTTTTGCAGGTTGTTATTATTACAGCATTTTTATGAAAATTAAAGTTTGAACTTTCAATTACGCCGAAATAATTCTGGAGCTGCAACAGAATCTACAAAGCGACAGCATGTTTCAATGTTCATTAAACAAAAAGTGGAATTGCTGCAAAAAAATGGAGAAAAATGCAAAAAAATCGTCTCAAAATCTTGAGGAGTATGGCATGGGAAAATCAACTGTATATGACATAAGAAAAAACAAAAAAAAAAAAAAAAAAAAAAAAAAAAAAAAAAAAAAAAAAAAAAAAAAAAAAAAACAAAAAAAAAAAAAAAAAAAAAAAAAAAAAAAAAAAAAAAAAAAAAAAAAAAAAAAAAAAAAAAAAAAAAAGAACTTTTTGAATTTTTTGGGAGATTCTGACATCCCACTCGCAATGAAAACGGGAAAAATTTTAAAAATGGAAAAATGATTCATTATGCTAAAAGTGATGGTCAGACAGCATCGCAGCTAGGGCTTGCCATTGACGGGTCCAATGCTAATGACTGAAGTCGAAATATTTTATGAAGAAACATTTGCCAGGTTGGTTAACCAAATT